ACACTTCCAAGCTCAAGCCAGGCGCCGCAGGCCATAAAGAGGAGCGCAGATTAAAATGGCGCCGCAGGCTCCCCCGGGCCGTCCGCGCACAGACCACAGTAACCCTTTTTAAAAACATCTATCACACACCACTAGGGTGTGGGGGAGCTCCGATCTCCCCACCTCCAATACTCTCCAATCCACAGCGTCGTCATCTTAGGCCGGGGATCCAGTCAGATCTCCGATCTCCATCTTCAATCTCCAATCTCCAACGTCGTCATCTTAGGCCGGATTCAGTCAGATCTCCGATCTCCATCTCCAATCTCCAATCTCCAATCTCGATTCGGGGGCCCGGGGGAGGAGGGGGGCTCAAACCTTCAAGGAGATGCGCTATGGATTCATTCACACTGACCGTCTCTCTTCTCCAATCTCCAATCGTCTACTTGGCCACTGTCGCCGCCGGCAGCAATCTACGACCTCCATTTTCAATCTTCGATCTCACATCTGGGGCGGATGGCTGGGCGCTAGGGTCTACAATCTGCATTCTCCATCTCCTATCTCCACATTTTGGCCCGTGTTGCTGCTCAGCGATCTGCAATCCACAATCTCAATCTTCGATCTTTAGTCTTAAATGGGGAACCGGACAGGAGGGATCTACTGGCGAGACTTGGGCGTGTCCGTGTGAGAGATCCGCTAGGATCTCCAGTCTTAAATACTATCTCTCCCCCAACGATATCCTGTTCTTGCGTATAGAGATTTCCATTACTCCTTTGGGTCCGCGCCGATTCCACTTTCCACACACAACGAACGAATAACGATCTCCACCGACCACCGTCGCCGAGTGGTGAGGCTCCGCTGAGGCCGTGAGCGGACGAGCGTCGACCGACGAGGAAACTACGCTATACCCAATACCGTATACGGCTCGGCACACATCGCTCAGGCAGAACCGGGGACGGGGGGGGAGTCGGAGCAGACGGCATCGGCCGCCGAGGGGATGTTGGGAAGAGGCACGAGGAGGTCGCCGCCCTCAACCGACTATGGAGGACCCGTAGCCAGACGACGCAGGGCAGACGACGGGGAGGCGGAGCAGTCGCGCGAGACGAGGGAGGGAGCAGGACGTTGCGGAGATCAGCAGGAGGATGTACGAAGAGATTAGGAGCAGCAGGGACCCGAGGGGCCATGTGGAAGACGGCTAGTGCTAGTCCCCCGTCGGGAGGACGACCCCGGCTAGTCGCCGACCACACCCACAAAGAACCCTGCACAAAGATCGCACGGGCGGGGACCTGTTCCTTTTTACCCATCTCACAGTAGAGGTGTTCGTTTTTATCTATTTATTTATCGCTCAGGCTTCTCCGAGAGGCACTAGATCTGGCACTGAAAAACACACAGGTTACGCAAGGATCGTTTCTTATGGCGGCCTCCGGGCCGCGCCATTTTCCCCAAAGCGGCAGCCTGTGGCGCAAGCGCGAAGCGGCGCGGGCTTCTCGTCAGAGAGATTTCTAGCAATATATACCTCGAAACTGACGCGGGCCCAGTACCTCGATGAGGTGACTTGGACCACCAAGAGCTGGCTGGGGCTGCAGAAGCAGCGTATCTCAGTCGTTCCTTCACACGGCCATCGCAGAGAGAGAGAGAGAGAGATTTTTAGAAGCCAACAAGAAATGTGGCTTCCAGAGAGAGCAGATTGTGAATGAGCTTGCCTGCGGCGAGGGCGGTCGAGTGCACGGAGGTAAGTGCCTCGCCGTCCTCGCAGGAGTCGCTTAGGCGGCTCCCGTGGTGTACCTGTGTTAGTGCCAGTGCGCGCCTCCCCTGCCCAGTGTCGTGCCAGGACGATTGTTTTCACGACAGAAAAATTCTTTTTTCGTAGCGCCTGGGAGACGCGAGCTCGCGTGGAACAGCGGGCAGCTGTGGCGCTCCCTTCTCATGGACACACAGAAGGACAAGCTGCTCGCGAAGGCCGAGAGGCTGAACGTCTACCGCCATGGGCCGGTGGCGTACCTCAAGAAGTCCATCACGGCGCTGCTCTTTGAGAACTGGGTCAACGTGCTCATGATCTGCTTCCCGCTGGCGATCCACATGGAGGAGAACCATGGCGACCCATCCAACATCTTCTTCTGCTCGCTGCTCGCCATCGCGCCCTTCGCCGAGCGCCTCTCCTTCGTCACCGAGCAGCTGGCTCTCCACACGAGCGAGGTGCTGGGCGGCATGCTGAACGCAACCTTTGGAAACGTCACGGTGCGCCTGCCCTGCCAACAACCTCGCTCGTGCCGCACGTGCCGCGACCGGGGCGGCGGCTCTCCGCGGGCCCCGCCCCCACTCTCCCGCCTCGCCAACCCCTCCCGAGCGCGGACGCCCCCGCGACGCCTTTCACCGTGCGAGCCCCCCCCTCCCTCCCGCCGCGCCGGCGCAGGAGCTGATCGTCTCGCTCTTCGCGCTCAAGTACGGAATGCTGCGCATCGTGCAGTGCTCGCTGCTCGGCTCCATCCTCTCCAACCTGATGCTCGTCCTCGGCTGCGCCTTCTTCGCCGGCGGCATCGTCACCAAGCAGCAAAAGTTCTCGGCGCCGGCCTCCTCCGTCAACTACTCGCTCCTTGTGCTCAGCGCGTCGTCGTCGCTGCTGCCGTGCGCGATCGACGCCAACCCGAGCGAGGGCGCGCCGCCCGGCTCCGGCCTGGTCGTCTCGCGCGTCCTCTCGTGCATGATGCTCGTCGTCTATGTCTGCTACGTCACCTTTCAGCTGGTGACACACACGTTCCTGTACGAGGACGACGACGACGACGACGAGGAGGCGGGCGAGGGCGAGGAGGAGGAGGAGGAGGAGGCGGTGCTCGGCGTGGCGGGCTCGGTCTTCTGGCTCGCCGTCATCACCGTCGTCATCTCGATCCTCTCCGAGTGCGTCCCCCCCCCCCCCCCCCCGCGCTTCTATTCTCGACGAGAGAGCCCGAGGCTCGAGAGGTCTCGAGTCGTGAGTCGACCGCCCTTTACACTCTCTCGTGGCAACCAACAGGTACATGGTGGACTCGCTCGAGGCGGCGGCCGTCGGCTGGGGCGTGCCCGACCTCTTCCTCGGTGCCCCCCCCCCCCCCCCCTCCCCCTTCACACACGCACGCACGGTTGCACGCACGCACGCACGCACGCACGCACGCACGGTCGCACGCACGCACGCACGCACGCACGCACGCACTCGCCCTCCCCCCACACCCACCGCGCTCTGAGGGTCTCCCCCGCCATGCGCAGGCACCATCATCATCCCCATCGTCGGCAACGCGGCCGAGCACGCCGCCGCCATCATCTTCGCCGTCAAGAACAAGATGGAGCTCGCGCTCGGCATCGCCGTCGGCTCCTCGATCCAGATCGGCGTCTTCTGCGTGCCGCTCCTCTGCGTCTTTGCGTGGTCCATCGACATCGAGCTCTCGCTCAACTTTGGCCTCTTCGAGTGCCTCACCTACCTCATCACCGCCCTCGTCGTCGGCGCCATCATCACCTCGGGGCAGTCCAACTGGCTGCAGGGCGTCGTCCTCATCACCGGCTACGCCTTCGTCTCCGCCGCCTTCTTTGTGCACGCCGACCCGCCCGAGCTCGCCAGCCACGCGGAGCACCATCACGAGTAGGAGATGCCCCGAGGCGCCCCCGAGGCGTCTCCGGCCTCCCCTCGCCTTGAGCGAGGAAATCTCTCGAGGAGAGCGCGGCGCCATCGAGCGAAGCGGCGGGATCATTTTAGGCGCAACCCGCCGCGCGGGCTCTGCGCCGCCCGGGACGCCGACGTCCGCCGCTCCTTTTCGCGCGGGACAACAGACTGAGAACAGAGTTCACAGCTGACGGCTAACGGCCCACGGCAGCGCATAGAATGTCACTGGACTCACTGTGTCATTCTTACCTGAGTTATTCGGAATGTGCATGTTAACATATAACAACTCCGCCCAGCTCCGACCTCCGAGCTCCGTCTCCTCGCTCGGCCTCGGGAACGCAACCTCTCGGTCCTTGCTCCTTCGCGCTTCGCCCGGTCCGCGCGGCGCACGAGGCACGTCTCTTCACTTGTCTGGCGCGCGCCCGCGCCCACCGCGCACCGGCGCCGGCCGCCGCGCCGGCCGCCGCGCTGGCCGCCGTGCGCGCCCCGGCCCGCCGGCTTTTAGCGGCAGGTTGCCGCGGCGGTGACTGCAGACTGGCGGCGGGCCATGCGGGGTGGCTGATTTTGTGGCAGCTAGGCGGATACCTAGCTCTTGGGCTAGGCGGCGGCCTTGCAGGTTGCAGCACCAATCAATGGCAATCAATGCAGGTCTTGGCGCTCTTCCTCTTGCTGTTGCACGTTGCAGCGCGCAGCACACAGCACATAGGCCTACTTGCCAAAGTGCTTTGCGCATGCCAGTGCACGCCAGTCACGTGCCGAGTAAGTAAGTAAAGAAAGACTAGTGTGGCTGCGAGCGAGCGAGGGAGGGAGTTTAGGGATGTAATCATCCCGCAAGGCTGGGGTTTAGATGAACCAGATACCTAGATATCTGGGTATCTGCCAGATATCTGAAGGCTCAGAGCCACTATCTGTATCTACCGACCCCACGCCAGATACCAACCAGATATCTGCCCAGATATCTGCTTGTAAAAAATCGCGGAAGAGAGCAACCAGATACCTATCTGGCACCGTTTGCACTATCTGCAGATAGTGAAAAGCACCTAGATGCCGGTAAACCCCAGCCTTGATCCCGCGTGCCCACAGTGTTTGTTCGTCAATTTGTTGTGCGAGGCTGGCGAGAGGTACTTCCAGCTTGCTGTGGAAAGAAGGTTTTCGCTTGTCTTCGCTCCACCAGACGACCCCCCTCGCCTCCCTCAGCGTTTACCTTACCTTTACCTCGTGTGTATGGTACACCGTCGTCGGTGTGCACAAGCTCGGCTTTAGCCCCCAGGTGTGAGTGATGGGAGGAGGACCACAGGGTCCCACACTAGAGGGTCGACCGAGAGGGCGTCCTAATGTCCTACTAAATGAAAAATCTGACTCGTTCTGAGGATTCAGGATTGAGCTTTGAGGCCATCGCTTCAGTCGGACGGGGCCAAAAAATAATTTATGGAGCAGAGTCGGTGATAGGCCCGAAATTCTTTTTCGCGGAGTTCTTTTTCGGGAATACGGGCGAATTCTACGAGTAGAGCTGACTTGATGAGTTGGATAGGTAAGTTTCGGCAAGACGCCCGCCGTGCAGATATCTGCGCAGCATTGCAACGAGATGCTGCAGCTTGTCCGCTCTGCGCTCGTGGCCAGCCTGGCAGGGGCCGTCGCACTCGCCTTCCTCATCCGCCGTCGGCGGAGTGCCGTTGACAGTGGGAGGAGTGCCATTGACAGGAGTGTGAAAGGGGAGGAGATCGGGACACTGGCGGAGCCCAGTGGCACCATACGCACGTCCAGTTGTGGAGTGAGGGACTTGATGAGCACCTTCGACCGGCTGTTGTTCGAGATTGACATCGGCATCCCGGCTGAGGCGTGTGCCAACGACCTGTCCAGCTCCAAGTACCAAGCGCCGCTGGAGAAAGTGATTGCGCAGGTCTCCGAGATCACGGGCGGCCTCTCCTACCAGTACGTGCAGGGCACGTGGACGGCTGAAGACAGTGGAGAGGTGCACCAGGAGAAGGACGCGACGCTCAACTTGCGCATCATCATTCTGCCTGAGGATCGCGAGGGCATGTTTGACAAAATTCGCGACTTCATCACGCAGGCTGTCCGGCGAGATGAGCTCCCGTGCAACTGGATTCAAGTCTGCGAGACGCCTCTCAAGCAGAGGTTGAGGCGAACCCGGGCTACGCGTGGACCCCGCTCAAGGAGGTCCATGCCACGCCTGCAGAGATCCAGAGGACCAAGCGAAAGGCCCTGGCGCGCAAGATGCGCTCAGCGGTCAGGGCGGTCAACGCGGCGATCAAGGGAAACGGCCCTCTCACCTTCAAGGACTTCATCCGCCCTGTCGATCACGTCAGACAGCTTGCCCGCTCGCTCGGAGCGAGCCCAGTCCTGACCGTCGGCGAGGAGCAACAGCAGAGTGGGCCCCACCTGCTGGACAACGCCAACGCGACCCTCGTCTCATGCTGCGGCAGCTTCGTCCAGCTGATGTCCGAATACGGCTACGTGCCGCTGGCTGCGCCCGTGCTCGACTTTTCGACCCTCACGGGCACGGCCGTGAAGCCGTCGGAGCCTTGTCTCGCCTCGCCGCGATCCTTCTCGCTGTTCGTCACCACCAAGGACAATGCGCGCGTCACCAGCATGCAGGACGTCGTGGATCGCAAATTCAAGTACGTTGCCATCAATGACTGCGCGGCCAGCGGAGCTGGCGCCCTGGTCGCATTTGCCAAGCAGTGGGACGTGCCATGGAAGAAGTACTTTTACGCTGCGGGGGGCACTGCCGACAAGGACATCACGTGCCCGCGATTCGTGCGTCCGACAGGGTCTCACTTTGACAGCCTCGACGCGGTGCTAAACGGAAGGATCGACGTGGCCATCGTGGACGTCATCGTGCTCATGCACTTCAAAGACGAGCACCCCGAGGAGTTCCGCTTGCTCAACGTGCTCTCTCCGCCGGTGGGCGACTTCCTCTTCTACCCGATATGGTTGCACAAGTCGCAGCAGGCGAAGAAGGCGCTCTACCTCGAGAGGCTCAACCAGACGCCCAAAGACGTGCTGCGGGCCATGTACGTAAAGGAGTTCAAGCCCATCGAGCTCGCCGACTTTGAGGGTAACCCGCCCATCATTTCCGAGAAATGAGCGTAAGTTTCCCTCCTTGCGAATTGTGAAGGATAAGCGCCACACATGCACGATGCACATGCACGGCTCCGCGCGCAGGAAAAAAAAATCTGTGGCCCGCCGTGCTTGCCGCTTGCCCTATACAGTAGAGCCCGGTAGGCTGGATCTGCTGCGCAGCAGCAGCCACCGCACGCAGCGCCTCACACCCTCAGCGCCTCCACACATTGCATGCAAACCAAAATATTATTTCCCGGCGCATGCAAAGCCAAAGGGCCTCTCCGAAGTAGGGGGGGAAACGCAACGCTGGCGATGATGGGCGAACGTGCGCGCGGCCTCGCGCGGCGTGGCGGATAAAGCGTAATCGAGATAAACACAGAGGTGGACCCTGAGGCGGCGGCACTGGAGCAAACGCGGAGGGGCTCCCGCCACGCCACTTATTGCGCCGCCTGCACCTGCTGATACGCCCACTTGAGCCAGAGGGTGAGGACGCGGAGGTCGTCCTACGCACCAAACGGAGCGCCCAGTAACGGGGTGCGTGCGCTGGCCGGCGCAGGCGCTGCGCCTCGGCCTGTTCGACCGTCGCGCCGCACCAAATGCGCAGCCCGGCCGGCGCGTCGCGGTAGGCGCCGATGTCGTACGCCACACGCTCCTCCTCGAGCAGCTTGCGCAGCGCGTCCACCTTCCCCTTGGCCATCGCGCCGCCCGCCGGCTCCTTGAGCACGAGGCACACCTGCGGGGCACCGGCAGCCGGCGGCGTCGGCGGCGGAGCGGTCGGCGCGATTTGACGCGGGCGGCGGCGGCGGCGGCGGCGGCGGCGGCGGCGGCGGCGGCGGCGCACCGAGGTGTTTGAGCGGTGCTCGGGCACGGTGCAGAGGAAGTCGATCCATGGCTCCGCCTCGACAAAGGCGGCGAGGACGCCGAAGTTTGCAACCGACTTGGCCACGACAGCGTCGAGCCCGCCGAGGCCGCGCGCCCACCGGAGCGAGTCGAGGTAGTCCTCGACGCAGAGCATCGACGGCGTGTTGATCGTCTCGCCTGCGGGACGCGTCATGCACGCGTCATGGACGTGTCCTGGACGCGTCCTGGTCGGCGGCTGTTGGTGGGGCTACCCTGAAAGATGCCCTTGATGAGCTTGCCGCCCTTGGTCATGCGGAAGATCTTTGGCAGCGCGCGCTTCGGCTGGAAGGACTCGAGCCGCTGCACCGCCCGCGGCCCCAGGATGAGCACGCCATGCGCGCCCTCCCCTCCGAGCACCTGCGGGCAGCCAGACGCGCCACGCGGCTTGCGAGGCTGCTGCGGCGGCGGGCGGGGGAGAGATGGTGGCGGGGGGGCGCCTTTTGCCACGAGTAGGTGACGACGTCGAGCTTGTGCCACGGCGTCATGTCCATCCCGAAGATCGCCGAGGTTGCGTCGCAGATCGTCAGCCCCTCGCGCTCGTCCGAGATCCAGTCGAGGCTGGGCACCTTGGCGCCGCCAGTGGTGCCGTTGAAGGTGAAGACGATGTCGTGCGACGCGTCCGTCTGCGAGAGGTCTGGGAGCGAGCCGAACGGGGCCGAGATCTCGCGCACGTCGCTCAGCCCGAGCTGGTTTACCGCATCGTCGTACCACGTCTTGCCAAACGTCTCCCAGAAGCAGATGTCCACTGGCCGTGGGCCGAGCATGCTCCACATGACCATCTCGACCGCGCCCGTGTCCGAGGCGGGGACGATGCCGACGAGGTAATCGTCCGGCAGGCCGAGGACCGCCTTGGTCTCCTCACAGCAGGCGAGCAGCTTGGCCTTTCCGATGGACGAGCGGTGGCTGCGGCCGAGCGCCGCATCCCCTACGGAGCCCTCGAGGCTCCAGCCCGGCCGCTTGGCACACGGGCCGGAGCCGAAGTTGGCGCACGACGGGCGCTCAGCCGGCATCGATGACGACATTGCAGCGAGCAGCGGGCGAGCAGCGGAAAGACCGAGGCGAGGCGCGACGAGCGTGGCCCCGGAAAGAAAAAATCCCGCAATTAAGTTTCTTTTCAGAAAGAAACCAAGGGCCGCGGAGAAATGCCGCAGCGGACCGACCGTGCTGCTGCTGCCGCCGCCGCCGCCGCCGCTGCCGCCGCCGTCGCGATTGCGCTCGCCGCCGCCATTCGCGACGGCGGCGGCGCTGCCGTCGGGCTGGACTGGGGCGACTGCAGCACCGGCGCGCGGTGGCTGCCTCGAGCCCGCAGCCCTCTGTGGGAGCCGCAGGTGGCAGACTTCTTCCCGGCGCTCGCCGGGTGGGGCTCTGTCCCAGACGACGAAGCGGCGCAGGCGACGGCGCCCGCCGAGGAGGCACCGCCGCGCCGCGCACCATTTGCGCCGCTGGCACGCGAGTCGGACATCACGGCGGAGCGGTTCGCGGAGCTGGCGGCGCTCGGCCAGCCCTTCATCGTGGAGGATGCCGGCCGCGACCTGCCGCTGCTCGGCCTGTCGTGCGAGGAGTACGCGCGGCGCTGGCCCAACGGCTCGATGCGTGCCGAGTACCTCGAGGGTGAGGAGTGGGGCGGCGAGTGGGGCTTCTTCCGCGACGAGGCGGAGGGAGAGAACAAGGTGCCGCTAGACAATGGGCTGTGGTGGCACGCGCCTCGACCTGCGAGGCCGCGGCGAGGCATCGAGCAGCACATGGCCGCCGAGGCCGACGCCGCCGAAGGTGACGCGGCCCCGCGGCTGACGGCGCCGTACATTTGGTGCGGCGGGGCGGGCGGGCGGGCACGGGGTGGGCGGGGCGGCCGGTGGGTGGGAGGGTGGGGGAGGCGCTCCGAATCGACCCTCTGCCGACACCTCGCCGCAGGCACGTCAAGGACCAGGAGCCGCTGTCCACCAAGCGGTCTGTGCAGCGGGTGTGGCGCGCGCCGTACTTTGCAGCTCGCTCCCCGCTCGCGGCGTGGGAGGCGTCCGAGTCGTTCGAGCTGTGGTTCTCGCTGCCGGGCGGAGGGACGATGGCGCATGGCGACGCGTACGGCGAGGTGACCGTCTCGCTGCAGCTACGCGGAGTCAAGCGCTGGCGGATGATGATGGTGCCTCCGTCGCCGATCGGCATCGACACCTCGGACGGAGGAGTCTGCGCGCCCAGGACACGTCCACGACATGTCCGAGACATGTCCCGCAGGCATCGACACCTCGGACGGAGGCGTGTACTCCAGCGGCCGGTGGGCGCCAGAGTACGAGGCGCGCGTCGGGCCGGGCGAGGCGCTGGTCTTCCCGCCCGGCTACCTGCACGAGACGTTCGTTCGCCCGGCCGACAACCCCGGCGGCGGATGCACCGTCGCAACCACCTTTCAGATGGCCGCGCCCGCCGCCTCGCGCTACCTGCACGCCTGGCTGCCGCGGCTGGCGCAGACCAACCTGCAGACGGAGGAGCGGCTCATCTCGAGCGAGTGGTCCGTCCTCGCCCTCGCGGGGCTGCCGCGCCAGGCCGCCGCCGCGTTGCGCCGCCGCCAGACGCCCGAGGCTCGCCGCGGTCCGCTGCCGGAGGAGGCGCTCGCCCGTGGACTGCGGAGAGCGAGAGCCGCCACTCATGGAGACTGCGCCTCGTCACTGCCCCCCTCGCAGCGGGTAGGCGCCCTTCTCGCCGGAGGAGCACGCCGAGGCCGTCCTCGCCGCGGCCGACGCCGACGGCGCGCGCGCCTCTCGCCCGCCGAGCTGCCGCAGCGCCGTCCGTGAGCTTTCTCGGCACTTTCCTGCAGGCTCGCGCGCCCTTTCCCCCGCCGAGCTGCGCGCCTTCTTCCTCTCGCACCCGGCGGCGGGCTGGGCGCGCAGGCCGCTCAAGACGGATTTGCCGCACCACGGGGCGGTCGTCGACGCGGCGAGCGCGGCGGCGATGACCGTGGAGCGCACAGTGGTGCGCGCTCGCGACGTGTGGAGCTTCCTCGACACCGACCGCGACGGCGCCGTCACCGCCGAGGAGCTGGTCGCTTCCGGCCGGCGGTGGCATGAGAGCTTGCGCGCCGCCGCCGTTGCGCTCCGGGAGCGGCGCCGGAGGAGCAAGGATGCGCCAAGGACAACTCCGCATAGACCATAGTGTCGACCGCGCGCCGCGGGGGCTAGTGCAGACCGTCTGTTCTTTGCAGTTGCACAGGGGAAGTAACTTGCTACTTGGGCGTCGTTGTATGTTTTGAAACATCGATACATATCCCTGCCTCTCTCTTTTCTCCCAGTAAGCTAATAAAAGTACAGTGTACATACACGATACACGGCTCTCATATTGGATATATACGGTAAATCCGTTTTGGGTTCTGTTGTTGTGGACAACACGTCACACCGACGTGTGCACATGCAGCACACGTGTTGTTTATCTTTACAGAGACACGACACTCGACAGAGCACACATAGTACACACACTGGGTCGCGACTACCTCGTCGACCTACGTTAAAATTATGAGTTCCTTGAGATCACGAACGGCGAAAAATGGCCGGGTACGAACTCAACGATGGCAACTGGCGGGTCTGTGCGCGACGAGTCCGGCCCGTCACCCGCCTCGCGCCAGTCATCGAGCGCACGGAGCACGTCGCTGAACGGCAGCATCGCAAACACGCCCCGGTTTTCGGCCCGCAGCCCCTCTCCGGGCCCCGCGAGCGGGCGGCGGGCGCGGTAGACGCACACGGGGTCGACCACGCTCTCCGTCGCGGTGTCGCGGTGCAGCACGACCACTGGCCGGTCGACGAGGTCGGCGAGACCCCATAGAAAGAGGGTGAAGGCAGCGCCCGTCGAGGTCCAATAGCCAGAGGCGCGAAAGGCGGCGAGCGCAGCCTCGGCCTGCGCCGGGTCGGCTGGCAGTCCGAGGTGCCGCCGCATCTGCGGCAGCGAGGTGCCCAGTCGCTCCTCGTCGGCATCTGTGCCGCAAGAGACAATTCGGTCCACGACCTGCCGCCGCTCATCGCGGATTCGCTTGCCCGCCGGCGCGAGCGCGTCGGCCTGCGAGATGCGACCCACAGAGCAGAGGATGGACCGCTGCGCGCAATTGCCGTCCATCGAAGCGCCGCCGAGCCGCGCGCCGCGCGCTCGGAGCAGCCTTTTCACCTCGTCGCTCGCGATCATTGGCCGGAACGACGAGTCCACCACAGGACGGGTACGCTCGGCAACCGGCAGCTCGTCGGCGTCGTCGAGAACGAGCGGGTTGCGCGCGGACCCGCCAGCTGGACCGACAGACAGGCCAGCGAGGCCGGCAAGCAGGCTGTCCATTCGCTCGTTGGACTCCAGGGCCATCTCCGCACCAGGGGAGGGTACCAGGGCAAGGGCTGAGGGCGGGAGGCGGAGGGTTTGGGCGGAGGCCGCGAGAGTTTTTTTGAGGGGGAAAGGGGCGCGGGGCACGCGGGGGCAGTTTATGGATGCAAAACATGCAGTGAAGAAGAGAGAGCGCGCGTGCGATTACTGACGTACGTAGGCGGTAGGCTGGGAAGTCAACAGCGTCGCAGGAGCGCGCTCCCTGTAAAAGCGTGCCTAGTGGAGAGCGAGCAGGGCGTGGACCGGTTGCCGCACAGAGGCAAGAGACGGCCACGTCGAAGCCTCGTTGGCCGAAGCCTCGTTGGCCGAAGCCTCGGTGGCCGAAGCCTCAGTGGCCGAAGCCTCAAAGGGCGGGTTGGGCCGCGGGGAAGGGAGGGCGGAGGGTGAGGGGGAAAGGGGCGCGGGCAGCGGGCACGCGGGGGCAGTTTATGGATGCAAAACATGCAGTGAAGAAGAGAGAGCGCGCGTGCGATTACTGACGTACGTAGGCGGTAGGCTGGGAAGTCAACAGCGTCGCAGGAGCGCGCTCCCTGTAAAAGCCGTACACGGCGTGCTGCGCTGTCACACTGCTCAATGGTGCCTAGTGGAGAGCGAGCAGGGCGTGGACCGGTTGCCGCACAGAGGCAAGAGACGGCCACGTCGCGCGGTCCCGGTCGCAGCACCTTTGCCAGCGCCCGCAGCGTGTGGCCCTCTCCTCGCAACCCATTCGACTCGATGGCAGCCAGCGCTCAGAGGATGGTCTTCATGGTGCGACACGACGACGTTCTAGATCTAGAAAATGGCAAACGAACCGTTTCGCCGGCGGCGGCGGCGCGCCCGGCGGCTGGCGGCGCGCACGCCTAGGAGCGTGCCAGGTACACATACAGCTCTCTGGGCTTCGCGCGCCGCTGCGGTCGGCCACAAAGAATGTGAGAATCGCACCTCAGCCCTGCGTAGGCTCCCTATGCCCTCTCGAGCAGGTCCAGGAAGGCCACCTCGTAGAAGATGTGGCCATCGCCAACGCCGCCGCCGCCCTCACCGACGCCGAGCATACCCTCAAAACCACAGTCGACCGCGTCCGGGCCGGAGGCGGCACCGACAGCGACATCACAGCGGCCAGAGACGCCCTCGACGCCGCCTAGCTACCGAGCCGACGCAGCTGCTCGGCAACCAGTCAACTTCCCAGTCAACTATGGGTATTCCAAGAATGGAACCCACCTCGTGTGCCACACAGTCACTTCGTGGCACACCCTGCGACCTGGAAATGCGTCAATCAAGTCGGACAAGCGTAACTTCTTCAACCTCACGGGACAGCCCCTGGACGCAGACGGCAACCCAGACCCGAGCGGGTGCGGCAGGACTGTCATGTTTAAGTGGGCGCGTAAGCGCAATCCGGCACTCATCCCGGCGATGCGGTTGGTGTTTGGTCGACGCAGCTTCCTCCGTCTGTGCAGCGCGGACGGACCGCTCCAGGACCCTCGGGCAGCCGGACCGAGCGACGCCGACGCACCGTGGGACCCGCTCAGCCTGGAGCCGCCCGGCGAGGACGCCGACGGCTACATCCGGTCGTGCTGCGGCGGCGCCCAAGGGCGCGCCTTCTCAGGGATGTGCACCACCGGAGTCAAACACGAGATCGACAACATTGTGCAAAAGAAGAACCCGACTACCCGCTTCGTTTCGTTCATCGACGACATGGTTCAAAACGACACCGTGGCAGAGGCCGTCAAGTCTTACTGCGGAGAGGGCGGGACACTCGAGGTGCAAAAAGATGTTGCTGGCAACCTCGACAACGAGGAGAAGTGCCTCATCTACTCTCCGAGCGGCGACCTCGACTGCGTACCCCCCTTCATGGTCGGCTCGCCGCACCACCGAGACGAGAACGGGAACCTCACCGGACGCGAGGCTTGCTTCAAAATCGTCGGAACCTACCTCGGCGACACAGAGGCTGCCTCGGAGGCGATTGGCAAACGCCTCGCCAAAAACCTCCGTCCGCTCGACTTCATCGACACGCTCGAATGCACCGAGGGCATTCAGAACGTTGGACACCTCAAGTACAACCTCATCACCCGTCAGGCCTGCCCAAAGACGAAGTACATTTGCTCCGTCACGCCACCAGAGATCAGCGAGGGCCCGGCCATCGACGGGAGCAACCGGATTCGCAAATCGTGGGAGCTACTCACGGAGGCAGAGGATACTCCTGCCAAATACAAAGACCTGGGTTGGAGGCAGGCTATGCTCCCCACCATCACTGGAGGCTCCGGCGTCGACACGGGCGTCACATCAGTCGGCGTGCCCAACGACACGGATGGGGGCCGCACGGGCGTGCGCGGCCCCGCCGAGGCCTACTACATCTCCCTCCTCAAATGCTGGTCAAAGCTTGTGGCCTGCAGCCCGGACCTCGCCGAAGCCGAGCGCTCCGGCGGGTACGGTGCACGAGACGCCGTCAACTCGTACAAAGCCGCGCTCTCGAGGCGAGACGAGGTGGCCTCCATCCGAGCCGCGCGCGACGACAACATCTACTACACCTTGCGCGGCGGCAAAATCTCTGAGTTCTACCCCAAGGGCGTCAGCCTCCCCACTTCTGAGTCTCTTCCAACACCGTCACTTGCAAATCAGGAAGCCCGTACGCGCGGGCGCTTGCTGCCATCGAGACTATCTGGAACTGGTTCGATCTGCAGAAGGAGTGGCGCGCCCTCGACGACTACACGGCAGCCAACTGGCAGCCCGGCGACACCAAAATACGTCTACGCGAGTCTATCCGCTACGTCTCAACTGCCCCGCCAGCCTTACGCGGGGCGGTGGCTCGACACAAAACTTGACGGCAGCAATGCCACATGCATTCCAGACGACATATTCATCGGCGAGCTTCAGCGCCGAAACGGCCTTCACCTCTCGCAGTGCCGCTCGACTGTCACGCGGGCACTCGAGCTTGGGGACACAGTCGGTGGTGCAAAGGACTACCATGGCGACTGGTTCCTCAACAACGCCGCCCGGCGGCGCCCTCACGACGGCGTACTTCGCGCCTGGTACGATTGTGTCGCCGCCGTCTCCATCTCCCGGCCCGTTATGGGAGATGCCGAAAAACCAGAACTCACCAAACAGTTCAACGAGGGCTACAAAACCGACCTGGCTGAGCCGGGGGCAAAGACGAGATCAGCGAGGTCAAACTTTGGACCCCCCTCCGGGGTGGCTTGCCCGTTGGGGTCGGCCGCACCGACACCGGAGGCAACCCCGGCTCCGTTGGAGACAAGTTCGCCTTCGGCAACACCGAAGAGCGCGCCCGCCTTGCAAACATGGGCTGCAAGCAACGCGGGTTCCGTGGTCAACGGGCGTTCGACCACACCACCGGCCAAGGCTACGTCAAGTCGCAGCGTGGCCACTACCATGACGGGATCTTCGGCAAACGAAACAAGTTCAACCTGCTTCTCCACGAGACATTCGGCGGTGGCTTCTCGCCGCCAGCAGTTGCAAAGATCAACCGCCTTGCGCGCAAGGCTCAACGCTCGGGCGTTGACCGCACCGCGTACCCTCGCCCCACTCCCGCCTCTCATTTGTGTCACACCACGCGGAACGCATCTCCATCGCTTCGGTGAAGGGGGTGAACCGTGCCATCCTCGATCGCCGTGCAAAGCTCGCTTCCGAGCTCTCACGCCGCGCGTAGGGCCCTTAGGGGCCTAGGGAACACAACCCCCTGCCCTCACCCCTCTCTCTTTTCTCCGGAGGAAGCTAAAAGTACGTTCTACGTACACGTACACGTACGTAATGGAGTTCACAGCAAGAAAAACAGCCTGAGTCGAATGTGTGCCTGCGGCCCCTTGCTGCTGCTCGCTGGTCGCGCTAACGCTACTTTATGATGCACAGTCCACAGAGAACGAAAGTAGTCCCGTCGGCACCAGCCGCGCCACCGAGACCGCGTGGGAGCACGACGGGCCATGTCCATGTGGCACCCGCCGGGGTCCACGGCGGGGCGGGGGAACCAAGGGGGGGCGGGAGGCAGGCAAGCGACTAGCCCGCGACGCCGAGGTGAGGGCGCGCGAGCTGGAAGAGGCCGACCAAGCCGGCGAGCTGCAGCCTCTCCGACGTGCCGACCGAGAGCCGCTCCTCGGCGTCGGCGAGCGAGGCGACGAGCGACGCCTTGGGCAGGGGCTTGGCCTCGAGGGCGAGGACGAGGTGGTGCAACTCCGTCAGCACGTCCTGCAGCGCGACGCCGCGGTCCTGCAGGAAGGTTCCAGGAACGGTCTAGGAAAGGTCTAGGAAGTACGCCCTGCAGCGCGACGCGGTCCTGCAGCCGCGACCACACCGAGGAGAGCGCCGTGCTGAAGTCCTCCTCCATCAGCGAGCGGAAGATCGCGTCCGTGTCGGCCGGCGTCGGCTGGCCTAGAGACGCGTCAGGGATTGGTCGGAGACGCGTCATGCAGCATCGCCGCCGGTGTCGGCCGGGGTCCGCGGGCCGGCGCAGCGGTAGACATTCTCCTCAGAGACGAGGCCGAAGCTCATGTGGGTCGACTGCAGCAGGTTGAGGCAGCGGCGCATGTCGCCGCGCCCGAGGGCCACGCACGCCTCCACGCCCCCGCCCGCGGCGCGAACCCCCTCGGCCTCAGCGACGTGCTGGGTGCGGCCGATCGCCTGCTCGTCGGTGAGGGGTGCGAAGCGGAAGCGGGTGGTGCGCGACTGCAGCGCGGGCATAATCTTGGACGCGTAGTTGCAGATCAGGCAGAAGCGCACGTTCGACACGTACTTCTCGATCACGCGCCGCAGCGCCATCTGCGCGGGGCTCGTCATATTGTCCGCCTCGTCGAGCACAATCAGCTTGGGCATCGAGGTCCACATCTGGCGCGTCGAGGCGAACTCCTTGATCTGCTCGCGCACCACGTCGATCCCGCGGTCGTCCGACGCGTTCAGCTCGAGCACCATGCTCGCGAACCGCTTGCCGTACATTCGGCGCGCGCACGCGAGGATCGTCGACGTCTTGCCAGTGCCGGGCGGGCCGTACAGCAGCAGGTGGGGGAGCTTGCCGGCGTCGATGAGCCGCGTGATCGTGGAGATTATCTCGTCGTGCGACACCAGCTCCGACATGTCCTTTGGTCGGTACTTCTCCACCCACGGTAGCAGGTCTGCCTGGGCCGCATGCATCTGCGCCGTCTTGTCCACCGGCGCGTCGGCGGAGACGTCCATGTCCTGTGCCTAGAGGTGCGGGAGGGGGGGAGGCCACACGTCTCAGGAGGCCACACATGTGCCCGAGGGCTACGCTCGGCGGCGAGTTCGGCGCGGCTCGCCTCCATGGTGGCGGTTCGCGCCGGCTTCCCGCCCTCTGTTGGTTGAGTCGTGCTGTGAACATCTCGGCTGTCCTCGCCACACTTGAAGAGGCCGCACCGGCAACACCTCCGCCTGGCCGCTCTCGCGCGCGTAGAAAGAGTCCGACAAGTCGCCTTGCCGGAAGATGTCTCGCCTGGCACAAAGCTTCCCACGCGGCACAGTGACAACAGTCACGCAACACGCTACACGGGCGGGGTCCTCCCGCGCCCAGGGAAGGCGTGTATGCGGGGTGAACTGGTTCCTGCGCTGGCTCACGTACGATCCTAACCAAATCTGGTGTTGACTCCCGGGATTTCTTTCTTGACATGTCACATGAGGATGAACCTGCACTGACATGATCGATGTGGGCCTGGCAGAAAAACACCAATGGATTCCTCCCAACAAGGGACCCCTCCTGTTTCTTATTAACAACGAAGGCGCTCTCAAAAAACAAAAAAAAGCGCGCGGTGTGATGTGTCCCATCCCTCCCTTTGAGCGCTCTAGCACAGGACTGGGAGGCGCGCACTGCCACTAACACAGGTACAGAACTCGTGTGCTGCAAAAGCTGAGTGCCCTCCGTGCCCCATCCACCCATCCCACCTTTCTCCCAGGATATCGCCCTTTCGCGCCGTCACCTCACTCCTCCGCCGCCGCCTCCGTTGCAGAGGCGTCGCCTCCTGCCCCGAGCTCCAGGTCGGTGATCAAATCGGCGATTCGGCGCCATGTTTTGATCTGTGCCTGTCTCGGTCGCGCGACGGCCACCCATTGGCTGGCGCACGTGGCTCCTCGCGTGTATGATCGGCGACGCCGTCATTGTCGACCTTCGTACCGGACCAGGGTTCGCGCACGCATTGGCCTCGACGCTGCTCAATGTACGAGAGCTTCTTGACGAGCAATGGGTGGTGCACGCCTGGGTGTCAGCAGACGCCAACCTCTCCCGTACCGTGCGCCAGCGCCTCTACAAGCTGAGCGGCCTCCGTCATGCGCTCCGTTGCGCCAATGCCGGGACGTGCGCCGCTCTACGGCTGAAGCGCATGACGGGAGAGAATTCGAGGGCGTGGTACAACCGGCTCATCCTGAAGACTGACTTCTGGAGGTGCATCTCTCTCTCTCTCTCTCTCTCTCTCTCTCTCTCTCTCTCTCTCTCTCTCTCTCTCTCTCTCTCTCTCTCTCTCTCTCTCTCTCTCTCTCTCTCTCTCTCTCTCCCGTGCTGTGGAGCTGCAGCTGCAGGATCTGCAAGAGGCGGCAGAGGCCAGCAGTTGCGCTCGCCTATGGGGCGGTCATCTCACTGAGCGCTCTCTCTCCGTCCAGGTCCTTCTCCGCGCCGCACGTGCTGCTATTTGAACTCGACACCTGCCTCTGCCCGTCGCCCACCTGGTCGCTGCGGCACTTCGTCGACGAAGGCTACTCGTACATCGGGGCGCCGTGGCACCCGAGAGTCTGCCACGCTCATCATCCTCTCGCCGTGACGCGACCCTTCCGACCCAAGCTCCGCAGGAGCGCTCTCCGTAGTAGCAGCGCCAGCGGGCGTCTGGCACAGAGCGTCATTAGCCCGGACGATCAGCGTCCCGATGGCGCCTTCCACGACGGCGCCTTTGCCTGCGTCGGCAACAGCGGCCTCTCGCTCTGGCGGCGCCAAGACGTGCTGACGCTGCAACCGGCAGTGGATGAATGCCGTGTTGCCGTCTCTCCGGCCCGCAAACGCCTCAATCGAATCATGTAGGCTTCTCGCCGTCGAGGCGGTCCCCTCCCCCCGCCCCGTGTACTGCCGACTAGCGTCATCAGACCTCTGCTCACTGGGTCTTGGAACCGAACAGCCATTGCAACATCGCAGGCGTCTAGCGACGACTTTCTCGAGTGGCGCACGGTGATTGCCGACATGTGGCTCTCGGCGCAGCTGCAGTCGAAACGCTGGCGTGGGCTTGGCCTACGCGGCGTGCCCAACGCCAGCGAGGCGGCGCGCTTTGCCATCGAAACCTACGGATACCGCGGTGCTCTAGATGTTGCAACAACACTCTGGGCCTTAGCGCGGCTGCTTGGAGGGGCGAGTGGCAGAGGCCCTCCCCTCCGTCCAGACACCGGCGTGCCTGTCGGCGTGCACCTGAACGCGCTGCAACGGCGGGAGCCAAAGCGGGCACTCTTGCAGGTGATACGTAGCAACGCACGCTCCTCTTTTGCAGACAAATCGCAGCCGGAGGCCCGAGCGCGCCTCACCCCCCGCTCTCTCGCGTGCGCGAAGGCGGAGCACGAGAGAATGCTGGTGCTGAAGTGCCCGCCCGTGGCCTCAGTCTTCTACAGATGGGACGAAACGCGGCACGGCTCTGTCGGGGCAGCCCCCGAGAATCGCGGCTGACACCGGCGTCTCCTGTTGCGGAGTCCCGTACGTGCGCGAACTACTTTCTCTCTGCGCGGTGTTGCCGTTGCCGCTTGCCTTCTTTGCACTTTGGAACGCTCCGCGCCGAAAGACGTGTAAAATTCTGCGCGTGAGACAGAGCGCGCACGCACTGTCGCAGCTCGAAGTTTTATACAGTAGAGACAGTCTCATCTATTTGGTGGACTCCCCCACATCCGCACCGGCGGAAGCCACCCACGCTCGATAGCGACCTCGAAGCTCCAGAACTCCTCCTCGCCGTGCGGCGCGCCGCCCCACGTCCAGAAGAAGGCGCCGGCGCGGCGGGTCCGACCCCCGAGCAAGCGCGCAAAAATTGAACTCGCGCCGTAGTGGGCGCCTACATGGAGCAAGAGGCCAGCTCAACGACGGCGTGGTTGTGATAATCCTCTCGGCCTTGTCGTGGGGCGGCTCGCCAAGCTGCGCCCTCCCCAACGCGCGCATCGTCGCATTGTGCTCGCCGTCGCTCTGCGCGTCAAAGCGCCGCGGTAGGGCGCTTTGGTCGTCCGTGGCGTACGGCGTCCGGAGTGACCACCTGGGGCGGGGGGAGGTATGGCCAGCTCGGCATTGCGCCCCTCATGGTGACCGCCACCGCTCCGTGGCCGCGTCGCACTCGCCCGTCAGCGCCGGCCGGCTGCCCACGTCGAGCAGCATTGACTCGAGATGGACGAGTGGGCCGGCGACGAAGTGCGGCGAGGCCAGCCGATCAAAGAGGGCCGGAAAAGGTGGCACGAGGACGCCGTAGTACAGGTGCAGGTCGAAAATGATGTTTGGGTAGCGCGCCGCCGGCAGCCCCTCGGGCGAGTCGAGGGCCGCCCACCCGAGCGAGAAGATGGCGCCGAGCCCGTAGAGCTGCAGTACAAAGGCGACCTGGCCGGCGCGCATGCCGCTGCCGCGGACGGTCTCGTAGGCGCGCTTGTAGTAGGGCAACAGTACCTCGTTTGGCAGCTCGGGCTCGTTGAGCGGCGAGATGGCGACGACGGAGCGCGACGAATTGTACCGCGTAGCCACGAGCCGCAGCGCCGAGAGGGCCCCGTCGGCGTCGAAGCGCGACGGCTCCCAGGTCGGGTCGGAGCGGCCGGTGGTCTGCCTGCCCGACTGCCCGCCCGGCGCCGCGTGCAGCTCGAGGAGCAACGAGAGCGAGTGCCGCTCCGCATTTGACACGACCTGGTCGAGCAGCTCGATGCCGCGGCCCACGTGGTACCCGCCAGCGCCCTCGCGCCAAGCCTCCGAGCCGGGCGGCGCCGGCTCCCGTGCCACCCACCACGGGAATGGCACGCGCACGGCGGTCACGCCCGCGGAGGCCATGGCCTCGAAGTCGACGCTCGAGACGCGCGCGGAGCGGAAGGCGTCGATCGCGTCGAGCTCATCCGCAGCTCGCAGACGCGCGGTGAGGGAAAACTCGTCCTCACTGTCGCCCGCAGCCGCGGCCGAGTAGGGCGACGCCACCTCGCCGCAGCATTTCGTGCGGAGGGAGGTGGTTCCGCACAGCCACTTCTCGAGGACCAGCCAGCCACCGACGTTGACGCCGTAGAGGGGCGTGTGGCGCTCCATCCAGGCCTCGGCCACCACATCGCGCCGATTCCAAGCAGCCAGGCGGGCGAGCAGCGCCAGCACGACCAACAGCAACGCAAGTGCTGCGCAGCCGAGCAGGAAAGCTCTGCCCGCCACGTTGGAGCGGTGCGGTGCGCTCTTCTGCGCGTCGGTCAGCCGAGCATAGCCACGCTCCCTTGCGGTGGCTGACGGCTCGGATGCAGCCGGTAGAAGGGGCTCTCCGCCCATCGCTAACGCGTTGTTTCTTTCTTAGGAAGTCGGGACGGTTCGGATGCCTGCAGTGTATAAATAAATAAATATAGCAGCCAACCCTAGCGGGATTAGGGCAGCAACCCGACGGGCAGACCCCGCCCCGCTCGGAGGGCGTGCACCACACAGAGGGCCCAACTTGAGCACTTGAGCACTGGATAGGGTCGATTCCGCATGGTACGGGATCCCTCGATCGTCTCGCCCTCCCTCACTGGTGTGTTCATTGGGGGGGGTCATAACAAACACGGTGCAGGATCGAGGTGCACGCTGCCGAAGCAGTGTCGTCCCTCTGGGGGGAGGCGGGGGCCCCCGGAGGCACCGTGCGCCGCGCCGCAGTGCGGAAACGGGGCTCCGGCTCCGCTAGTCTCCGCTAGCACCGACTTCCCGAATGATCACGGTTGATCAGAGGGCAGATTTGGAGAGATCTCGAGGAGTACATACAGATAGATCCTCTAGCCATCAGAAAACTCCGACCTGATCGGTCGTACTGACCGCCGACAGATCACTCCAGACAGCAGACAGGCCGACGTCTGCACGCGGCCGGCCGGGCGAGAGGCTTGACATGATCCGACCCTGCGACCCTGACGCTGCTGCTCTAGCTATCAGATAACTGCTGACTGCTGCCACAATGTGTGACCGGTGCTGGCCCACTTGGCGGCCTTCCCGGTCAGTGGTGAGGCGCAGTTCAGAGCTGTCGATGGCGCGATCCGCCGCACTGGTCCCACATTGGTGACACGAGACCACCAAGTTTGCCGGTCCAAGAGAGAGGCACCGGCGCTGTCCGGAGAAGGTGCATGGCCCCTCCTGACTGCCCATGCGCGCGAGGCTGTGTAGGCATAGCCTCGAGAGTGCCAGCAGCCAGTCGCCGAGGCAGTTTGTGACGCGCATAGCGTCAGAAGCGTGCACGCGCTGGAAGGACACCTTCCTACTGGCCGTACGATCAGGTCGTCACTGAATGGTGGATACTAAGGCCGCGAGCTATGCAGGTGGTCAATTGTTCAGCAGGGCACGGTCAGCAGCGCCGACAGGCTGTCGCAAGGCGTGATAGCATGGCGCCGCAAGACCGGCGAATTCCTTGAAAACAAGTAAAAAATCGCCCAAAAAAGAAAAAAGTGCCGAAAAAATCGGCGCCTGCGGCGGGCCGTGGGACCCCATCTCCCCCCCGCATGGATACCCTCTAGGGCCCCCGCCTCCCCCGCCCCCCAGAGTGTCGTCCCCCCTCTCCCCGACGGCGATGGCGCGACTACAGAAGCCTCTGGAATAGCCTCTCTCTCTGCCAAGAGCCTCTTCGCACGGCAGCACGCACAAGAGCCAAGGCACGCACAAGACTCAAGAGCCAACGCAGCCTCACACATGATGTCGCGTCCGCTCCCGCCTCCATAGCGGCCGCGGCCTCCTCCGCGCCGCCGCCGCGGCTTTCGCCACCATCGCCGCCGCCGCGCCCACCCTCGGGCTCGCCACGCCCGTGACGCCGAACCAAACCCTCTCCTCGTTGAGCCCGCGAGAAGCCGGACCATCCCCTCCTTGTCCAACTGCGCGGGCTTTCTCACGGCCCCGGCGACCACGCCTCGACCTTCTTGGGCAGCAGCTGGTTCGAAAGGTCCTCTCCGTGGCCCAGGCAGCCGTGCTCGCCCTCGCCCCAAGCATAAACAGCGCCATCGGCGGCGAGGGCGAGGCTGTGGCAGCTTCCAGCCGAGACAGCGACGACGCGCCGCCCAGCGAAGGCCTCGATCTTCTTCGGCAGCAGCTGGCGCTGCTCGTCACCGTGGCCCAGCCGGCCATCACCTCCAAGGCCCCAGCTACAGACGGAGCCGTCGGCGGCGAGGGCGAGGCTGTGCCTACCTCCCGCCGACACAGTGATTACGCGCTGTCCAGTAAAGGCCTCGACCTTCTTCGGCAGCAGCTGGCTCTGCTGGTCGCCGTGGCCCAGCTTGCCGTAGTCTCCACCGCCCCAGCTCCAGACAGCGCCGTCGGCGGTGAGGGCGAGGCTGTGGCTATATCCAGCCGAGACAGCGATGACGCGCTGGCCAGCCAAGGCCTCGATCCTCTTCGGCAGCAACTGGTCCTGCGTGTCGCCGTGGCCCAGCTGGCCGTAGTCTCCATCGCCCCAGCTCCAGACAGCGCCGCCGGCGGTGAGGGCGAGGCTGTGGCTAACTCCAGCCGACACGGCGACGACGCGCCGCCCAGCAAAGGCCTCGACCTTCTTCGGCAGCAGCTGCCGCTGCTGGTCGCCGTGGCCTAGCCGGCCAGAGTTGCCCCAGCCCCAGCTCCAAACGGCGCCATCGGCGGTGAGGGCGAGGCTGTGACTGCCTCCAGCCGTCACAGCCATGACACGCTGGCCACCAAAGGCCTCGACCTTCTGCGGCTGCCACTGGTCCTGCTGGTCGCCGTGGCCCAGCTTGCCAAAGAATCCATCGCCCCAGCTCCAGACACTGCCGTGCGCGGTGAGGGCGAGGCTGTGGCCACCTCCAACCGAGACGCTCACGGCGCGCTCGTCACCCAGCGTCGACGGGAGGCGGGTCGGTGTGTTGAGCCGCGTCACGCCCTCGCCGTGGCCGAGCAGCCCGGGGATTGGGTTGTAGTCCGGCGCCGAGCCGCACGACGAGAGCCGCCCCTCGCCGTCAATGAAGAGGCTGGTGTAGTGGCATCCCGCCGCCCTCGCCGGCGGGTTGGACTCGTGCAGCAACGCCGAATAGCACAGCCACCGCACGGCGCAGACCTCGCCCGCTGGCGGCGGCGGCAGCTCGAAGCCGCGCTCTTGCGCCCACAAGCGGATGCCCTCCTCCGCAAGCGAGGTGTGAAAGAGGAGCGAGACGGCCGCGGCGCGAGCGATGTCGGCGGGGCTGTCGCAGCGAGACAGGGCGCGCTCGAGGAGCTCCCTGGGGAGGTCGAGCAAGCGGGCGGGCGGCGGCGCGTCTGGCGAGGGAGCGGCGGTCGAGGCGGAGGCGAGGCGGCGCGAGCGGCGGCGCGGCGGTTTGGACATCGCGAGAAAAAGAATTTTACCACAACTCCCTCGCACAACACTGGGCACGGGACTGACGCGAGAAAAAGAAAATCGTTCGCGAATTCCGGCGTGAGATTTGTTTCCTCCGGCGTCGGCGACATGGTTTGCCTTCGACTGCCTTTGACTCGCAAGACGCGCGAACACACACAAACTCGCGACTACAGAAGCCTCTGGAATAGCCTCTCTCTCTGCCAAGAGCCTCTTCGCACGGCAGCACGCACAAGAGCCAAGGCACGCACAAGACTCAAAGGCCAACGCAGCCTCACACATGATCTCACGTCCTCTCCCGCCTCCATAGCGGCCGCGGCCTCCTCCGCGCCGCCGCCGCGGCTTTCGCCACCATCGCCGCCGCCGCGCCCACCCTCGGGCTCGCCACGCCCGTGACGCCGAGCCAAACCCTCTCCTCGTTGAGCCCGCGAGAAGCCGGACCATCCCCTCCTTGTCCAACTGCGCGGGCTTTCTCACGGCCCCGGCGACCACGCCTCAACCTTCTTGGGCAGCAGCTGGTTCGAAAGGTCCTCTCCGTGGCCCAGGCAGCCGTGCTCGCCCTCGCCCCAAGCATAAACAGCGCCATCGGCGGCGAGGGCGAGGCTGTGGCAGCTTCCAGCCGAGACAGCGACGACGCGCCGCCCAGCGAAGGCCTCGATCTTCTTCGGCAGCAGCTGGCGCTGCTCGTCACCGTGGCCCAGCCGGCCATCACCTCCAAGGCCCCAGCTACAGACGGAGCCGTCGGCGGCGAGGGCGAGGCTGTGCCTACCTCCCGCCGACACAGTGATTACGCGCTGTCCAGTAAAGGCCTCGACCTTCTTCGGCAGCAGCTGGCTCTGCTGGTCGCCGTGGCCCAGCTTGCCATAGCCTCCACTGCCCCAGCTCCAGACAGCTCCGTCGGCGGTGGTGGCGAGGCTGTGATCTTCCGCCGAGACAGCGACGACGCGCTGGCCAGCCAAAGCCTCGATCCTCTTCGGCAGCAACTGGTCCTGCGTGTCGCCGTGGCCCAACCTGCCATCGCCTCCAAAGCCCCAGCTCCAGACAGCGCCGCCGGCGGTGAGGGCGAGGCTGTGGCTAACTCCAGCCGACACGGCGACGACGCGCCGCCCAGCAAAGGCCTCGACCTTCTTCGGCAGCAGCTGCCGCTGCTGGTCGCCGTGGCCTAGCCGGCCAGAGTTGCCCCAGCCCCAGCTCCAAACGGCGCCATCGGCGGTGAGGGCGAGGCTGTGACTGCCTCCAGCCGTCACAGCCATGACACGCTGGCCACCAAAGGCCTCGACCTTCTGCGGCTGCCCCTGGTCCTGCCGATCGCCGTGGCCCAACGTGCCATAGTCTCCATCGCCCCAGCTCCACACAGCGCCGCCGTCGGTGATGGCGAGGCTGTGGCCACCTCCAACCGAGACGCTCACGGCGCGCTCGTCACCCAGCGTCGACGGGAGGCGGGTCGGTGTGTTGAGCCGCGTCACGCCCTCGCCGTGGCCGAGCAGCCCGGGGATTGGGTCGTAGTCCGGCGCCGAGCCGCACGACGAGAGCCGCCCCTCGCCGTCAATGAAGAGGCTGGTGTAGTGGCATCCCGCCGCCCTCGCCGGCGGGTTGGACTCGTGCAGCAACGCCGAATAGCACAGCCACCGCACGGCGCAGGTCTCGCCCTCTGGCTGCGCTGGCAGCTCGAAGCCGCGCTCTTGCGCCCACAAGCGGATGCCCTGCTCCGCGAGCGAGTGAAAGAGCAGCGAGACGGCCCCGACGCGAGCGATGTCGACGGGGCTGTCGCAGCGGGAGAGGGCGCGCTCGAGGATCTCCCTGGGGAGGTCGAGCAGGCGGGCGGGCGGCGGCGCGTCTGGCGAGGGCGCTTCTGGCGAGGGAGCGGTGGAGGCGTGGCGGTGTGAGCGGCGGCGCGGCGGTTTGGACATCGCGAAGAAAAGAAAAAAACCGCGCGCCAAGGCGCGCGATACACAATACATGGACATACGATGAATTATGCGAAGAAAGATAATGCCATCACCTTGCCCTAGATCTACCCCGCTGTGCACGAGCGGGCGGCGCTGCTGGGCGCGCGGAGAGCGCTCCTCGCTTACTCCTCGCTCTCCGACACTCCCACCGCCGTCAGTAACTCGCGCTTGAGCTGGCGTATGCACTCGTGCGGGGCACGTGGCCTGGAGCCCTGTTCACGCGCGCGCGAGACGTGCAGACAGGGTTGCCAGGTGAGAGCGAATGGCGCGGTTCACGCCTCGCACAACAGAGAGAGAGCTGCGCTCTGCATGGTGGGACGTAAAAGAGAGCGAGTACTTGGGCGAGTAGGCCGTGCGGTCGACGCTCTTGGGGCCACCTTTCCGCTTTGGTTTTTTCCCCACTGACGAGCGTGGTTGCCCATGGTCGAGTTGGCGCACGTACCTGAGGTGAAGGGCGCCATGAAGGGCGCCATGGGCGCAACGCTGTCAAATAAATAAATTATTAAAACGGACACCACACACCAAGTGTCAATGTTGATGGAGCGCTGTTTTATTTAGTGTCGCGAACTTCGCACCCGGCGTCGATGGCTCGACCCACATACGAACTTCGCTGCCGGCGCCGGAGACCCGCACCCGGTCTCGGGGGGAGATTCTAGAAGATCGAGCGAGGCAGCGCCGGTACGGCAGCGGTAACAGCCTCCGCTGCCTTCCTCGCCTTCGCCGCCGCCGCTTTTGCCTCAGCCGCCGCCGCTGCCTTGGCCGCTTTGGCCACCTCGGCCACCTTCGCCGCCTCGGCCGCCGCCGCTGCCTCGGCCACCTTTGCCGCCTCGGCCACCTTCGCCGCCTCGGCCTTCGCCGCCTCGGCCGCCGCCGCCGCCTCGGCCTTCGCCGCCACCTCCGCCTTCGCCTCCGCCTCGGCCACCTTCGCCGCCTCGGCCTTCGCCGCCTCGGCCACCTTCGCCGCCTCGGCCGCCGCCGCCGCCTCGGCCACCTTCGCCGCCTCGGCCTTCGCCGTCTCGGCCGCCGTCGCCGCCTCGACCACCTCCGCCGCCTCGGCCGCCGCCTCGGCCGCGGACGCCATCGCCTTGGCGGCCTCTGGCGCTGCCTCCGTCACCATCTCCGTCGCGAACGTTGCGACCTCTTTGACGTCGTCTGGCGCGGCGTCTGGCGCGGCGTTTGACTCTAGCACAGTCCCCGCCGCGCCGTGCTCGCCAATTTGAAGGTACTTTGGCGGGGGCCGGTTGGGGTCCTTGTACAGCGGGTAGAGGAGCGCCACCAGCGTGGCGGCGTCCGGGTTCGCCTCGGCCGCCTTGTCCGCCGATGCCGCCTTCGTCTCCGATATAGTGATCACGTCCGTCACCTCTCCGCAGAGGGCCTCGCCGTGCGTCTTGACGGCGTTCAGGCGGGGTTTCAGCTCCTTGATGGCGCCGCAGATGCGCTTGCCAACCGTCATTGCGTTGCAGATGTTGCCCGTCATAGCCTCGCTGAGGGCGGCTTCAGGGTTGTCAAGGTACTTCTGGCACGTGTTGACAAGCTTCTCGATGTCCCCGATGACCTTTGCGAGGCCCTCAAGCGCGGAAGCAACCGCGGTCTCAGCATCCTTAAGCTCCTGCATGACGGCGTTGGCGATGCCCGCGATCTCGAGCTTACCGAAATCAATCACGATCGGGCACGCTCCGTTCATGAACGAGACGTTCGCAGTAAAGGCTCCGACAATCTCCGCCAGGGGGTTGGACATCCCCGATTCGGCAAAGTTGGACACGGCCGCCTTGACGTACGCGCGCAGAGCCTTGAGCACGGCCTAATAACGCCCGGCTATGAAGGAGAGGGTGAGTGCGCCGACTAGGACGGAGGTGGCCAAACTGATGCTCGACCTCCAGGTGACGGGTCAGCGGGTGATAGCGCAGGGGCAGAATGATCGGTCGCTGGAGACGCCCTCTTTAGCGCAGGGAAGGTTTTGGCTCGCACTCGCACCTCAAACGCGCTGTTGACCTCAGACAGTTTGCTGGCGATGCCGCCGCTCGTGACGGCGGCCTCGTCGAGGAGGGCGATGCCGCATTTCGGCGTCTGTCCTTCTTCAAAAGTCGAAGACCCGCAACCCATGTTGTACCTGCGAGAGTGACGAGGGCAGATTTTCTTGGCGGTCGCCCGATGGTTCCTGACACTCATCACAGAGTGGGCCCTCCCGCGCGCTGTCGCGGACGGCGTCATGGCGGGGAAGCACGGCTCTAGCGCGGTGGTCACCGGCACGGAAGGCGAGCGCCTTCAGTGAGAAGCGGTTGCTCGGGGTGGCGGCGTGCGCACGCCCTTCCGCCCGCGTCTCGGCGGTCGCGCGTGTCACAATTGCGCGAGCTTTTTCTTTTCGTGTGTGAACAGCGATTTCCCGGAAAAGTCCCTCACCAGTGCTTGTGCACGACGAAAAAAGAAAGCGGGGCGCCCTCATGCCGGCTCTCTCGCGGATACACCGCCACTGCCCTCATGCCTGGCCGACGCAACGCTGGCTGGCTCAGGCCGCCTCCCATACGCACCTGCATGTGTGGACGCGAGTATTAACTAAGATGAGCGCCCACGCATGAGGATGCGCGCCTGCGTCCATCCAGGTAGCCCAGATACGCGTCTTCGTGTCTGGGCGCTTATCTTGAGTAAGGCTCGCGCCTACACGTGTAGCTGCGTATCTTGAGATGAGCGCCAATACTTCACGGCGGCCCCCTCGGGGCGCTTGCGGACGACAAAGAAGGTGCGGCCTCCTCCGTCAAGTCCTCCTCTCGCGCAGGCCGGGGTTGAGACACTTGGCCACGGCTGGCTCGACGACCGTCGCCACGTCTTTCCACTCGATGTTGCTGACCGCCATGTGGTTTGAACGCTTCGCTACCCGGCCGCCGCGGGCACCTCGGCGCCGGCATCATCCTCCGCGGCATCAAGGAGATCCGCCATAAAGCAGCGCCCAGCAAGCCAGGGACAGATGACACAGGCGACTTGAGCGCGTATCACCCAAAACTATTCACTTTTGAGCGCCATATGCGCAGGAGGTGCGTATGTCAACATACGCGCCTGCACGTGTGAGCGCTCATATTGACTAATATTCGCGTCTGCATGTGTGGGAGCGTATGCTGACCGCCAAGCACCCACGCCGACACCGCGAGTACTAGCTAAGATAGGCGCCACACGCGTGGGCGCTCATCTCAAGATACGCAGCTACACGTGTAGGCGCGAGCCTTACTCAAGATAAGCGCCCAGACACGAAGACGCGTATCTGGGCTACCTGGACGCAGACGCGCATCCTCATGTGTGGGCGCTCATCTTAGTTAATACTCGCGTCCACACTTGCAGGTGCGTATATGGGCTCGGTGCACATGAGCACTTACACGTCAGGGCGCGAGCCTTAGCTAAGATACGCGCCTACACGTGTGGGTGGTCATTTTGACCCACTTTCCGGGTTTGCCGGACGTTGGTGCCCGAACCTCTGGCAGCCATCGTGGAAGAGCTCGCTCGAGCGCCCTCTGGCCGCCTCTACTACTCCTCGCGCCAAGCGTGCAGTCAGGCGGACGACGCTTTTCGGGTGCGGCGTATCCCATATCTCGCGGACGGCACTGTCGACTTTGACAGCCTTTCGGCACTCGCGGCTCGAACGCAAGACGGCGTGGTCGATTCGCAAGAGGGCAGTCGCAGCCCGCCTTTGGTGGTACACCGCGAGTACAGGGCGGTGCTGGGCCCGTCGCTGCTTCTCGGGCGCGACCGGTTCGGTGGCGTCGACAATCGGCTCTCTTCTGCGCCCGACCGCGACAGCACGCTGCCGCTCGCACACGCACACGGGCCGCCGCTTCTCCCTGCGCGCTCCGGTGGCGTGCCGGAACATGCGACGCTGGTCGAGGCGCTGAGGCACACAGCGGCCGCGTGTGGCGCCGACCGGGGCATCACATACGTGACGGGCGGTGCGGCGACGCACGAGAGCTACGCTGGCCTGCTGCGCGAGGCGCGCAGGCTGCACTGCGGGCTGCGGAGGCTGGGACTGCGGCCGCGTGAGCCGGTGGCGCTGCAGATTCTCGACAGCCGCATGCACATACGCGCGCTGTGGGCATGCGCCGTCGGCGGCCTGCCGTCGCTCACGGTCGCTGTGGCGCCGCAGCTAACGCCGTCCAACGCCGTCGCCGCCAAGCTCGTCGCCGCCGTGGCGCAGCTGGGCGCGCGACACGTACTCGCATCGGACGAGCTCGCCGCGCCGCTGCGCGCTCTGCTGCCGCGGGCCGAAGTCCTCGCGGTGGCTCGGCTCGAGGAGGCGGCGACCGCCGCCTCGCCGCTGCCAGAGGAGCTGCCAGAGGAGCTGCCAGAGGAGCTGCCCGGTCCCACCTCGTCCGACGTCCTGTTCTACCAGCTGACCTCCGGCTCGACGGGCGTGCCAAAGGTGATCCCCGAGACGCACGCCGCCGTGATCCACCACATCCGCTCCACGGCCCAGGGTTGCGCCGCCCTTCCGGGAGAGGAGACGAGCCTCAACTGGCTGCCGTTCGATCACGTCGTGCCGATACTCACCTACCACTTTGCGGACGCCTACCTCGGCCGCGCCGCCGTGCAGCTGCCGACGGACGAGGTGATTGCCGACCCGCTGGCCTGGCTGCGCAGCCTGGCGGCGCACCGCGTCACCCACTCTTGGTCGCCCAACTTTGGCTTCAAGCTCGCGGCCTCCGCGCTGCGCGAGGGCGGGCTCGACGCCACCGCCGCGAGGGAGTCGCTCGGAGACCTGTCGTGCGTCCGCCGGCTGATGAACGCGGGCGAGCAGGTGACCGCCGCGGTGTGCGACGCGTTTCTATCGCTGACGGGCCTGCCTTCGGAGGTGATGCAGCCCGCCTTTGGGATGGCCGAGACGGCGACGTGCATGGCCTACGCCAGCTTGTACGGCGGATCCGACTCCTCCGCCCTCGTCCTGACAGAGAGCCTCGCCGCGCCCTCGCTGCGGCTCGCGCCGCCGTCCGCCGCGGAGCCGGGGGCGCGCGTCTCCTCCTTCACCTGCCTCGGCCCGCCGTCGCCCGCCGTCGAGATGCGCATCGTCGCCGCCGACGCGCAGAGCGGCGGGAGGGACCCGTTGCAAAGCGGCGGCTACTCGCTCCTCAGGGAGCTGCAGGTCGGCCGGCTGCAGATCCGGGGCGAGTGCGTGATGCGAGGCTACGTCAACCACCCGGCGGCCAACGCAGAGTGCTTCGCGGGCGACGGTTGGCTCGACTCGGGTGCGAGCCGCCATACGCCGAAAGTTGCCCCCCCCCCCCCCCCCCCCGCAACACCCTCCCTCATCCCTCTAGTCGCCCTCACCGGCACCCTCGGCCGCGGCGATAGGCGACCTCGGCTTCCTGTGGGGCGGGCGGCTCTTTCTGACGGGGCGCGCCAAGGAGGTGGTCATCGTGCGCGGCGCAAACTACCACTGCTACGAGATCGAGGACGCCGTCGGGGCGCTGTCGGGCGTCGCCACGGCCCGTGTCGGCGCAACGAGCGTGCGTGACGCGGCGTCCGCCACCGAGGCTCACCCCGTTGGTGCCGGACTGGGCGGTGCGAAGCACCTGTTGACCTCGCCCGCCCCCGCTGCAGGCGCTGCTCGTCTTCTTCGTCCCGTCAGACTCCCTTGCCGCCGAGGCGTTGCCGCACTTGCACGAGGGCGGAGTCCTCATCGAGGCGCTGCGCCGGCTGGTCGTGGCGGTGCGCGCCGCGGTTGCGGCCGCGTTTGGCCTCGAGCCGCGCTACGTCATCCCGCTGGGCGAGAGCGCCTTCCAGCGAACCACGTCGGGCAAGATCATGCGCGCCGCCATGCGCGCCGCCTTTCTGCGCGGAACGCACGCCCGCGCGTGCGCCGCCCTCGACCTCGCGCTCGACAGCGCGCCGGGGTTCGCATTCCCCGACTTCTTCGCCGCGCCGCTGTGGGTGCCGAGACCACCGCCGCCGCCGCCTGCGTGTGGCCGCCCTTGCGTGCTCCTCCTCGCCCCCCCGCCGCTGCTTGCGAGCGGCCTCTGTGAGGCGATTGAGCGGTCATGGGGACCGGGGCTGCGTACGGTGGCGGCAGGCGGGGCGAGCGAGGATGAGCTGCGCACGCTGTTCCTGAGCGCCGCCCCGTCGCATATCGTGCACGCGGCGCTCCTCACGCCCCTCGACGAGTCGCACTCCTCCGACGCCGCGTCGCAGCTCGCAAGAGGACGGCGGGGCGACGGGGGCGGGACCGCCTCCGGCGCAGGCGACGCCTGCGAGGCGCTCCTTAGCGTGGCGCGCGCGCTTCGCAGCTGGCTGGGCGAGGGGTGTGCGGAGCCGCCGGCGAGGCCCACGCTCCTCTGCGTACGGTACACGGCGGACACCGCGGCGCCCGGGGCCCTCGAGTACGAGGCGAGTGGCGCGGGGCTGGCCTCAGCCTTGTGCAAGGCGCTCGCCGCCGAGCTCCCCTCGCTCGCGCGCGCTGCCGCGGTGCACGTGCCTCGCGCGTCGACCACGGAGGCGATTGGGTCGGCTGTCGCTGCCGAGGCGCGCGTCTCGTGTGCGCTCGACATGGACGTCGCGTACGATGAGGCCGGGGAGCGGAGGGTGCAGCGCTACCGGACCGCCGGGGCGACCCTGCAGTCGGCCGCTGCGAGGGAGGAGCAGGAGCCCGACACGAGAGGTGGCGAGGCGCCGCTGCTGCGTCCGAACGGGGCCTACGTCGTGAGCGGCGGGCTGGGTGGGCTGGGGGAGGCCCTCGTGCGCATGATCCTCGCCGATGAGGCGGCGGGCGGCTGCTCGGTGCTGGTGCTTGGTCGGCGGCCGTCGAGGAGGGGGCGGAAGCGGCTCGCCGAGCTGGGCTGGGGCGGTCGCGTCGAGTATGCGTGCATCGATCTCGGCGCAGACTTTTCAGCCCTGCGTTCCGCGCTCATCGGCCACCTCCGCCGCAAGGCGCAGCCGCTCGCCGCCGTTTTTCACTTGGCGGGCAGCTATCAGCGCGCACACGTGGCCGACTACGCACCGGCGGACCTGGCAGCCGCCACCCGCGCCAAGGTGTGGGGGGCGGTGCACTTGCACCGCGCCGCCATCGCCGCAGGAGAGCGGCCGGCCTTTGTGCATTTTGGCTCCGTCGCCACCGTCTATGCGGGAACAGGCCTTGGCGGCTACGCCGGCGCGAATGCCTTTCTCGCTTGGTTCGCTTGCTGGCAGCACGACACGGCGGGGCTTGAGGCTCGCACGATCGAGTGGGCCTCGTGGAGTGGCATTGGCATCTCACAGAGGGACGAGGCGCTGGGTATGGCGAGCTGGCTCGCGCCGCTCCCCCTCGAGCAGGGGCTGGCCGTGCTTCGTCGGCTCGTCGCGTCGCGATGCGACGGCCAGCGCCGCGTGCTGGTCGGCGTCGAGCCGCTTGACGCCGAGCTGGGCTGCCTCTTCACCGACGGGCCTGTGGGGCTGACCACGCCGTGCCTCTTCTACACGCCAGACGTGTGCCCGGAGCGCGCGCTGTGTGTCGGCCGCGTCCCCCTCTGCGTCCCCACGCTCCCCACCGACAAGTCAGGCAGCGTCGACGTCGAGGCGCTTCGCACTCGCCCGCTGCCCGAGCTCCTCGGCAGGCCTCGCCTCGCTGCCGCAGCGGGCGCCGGCTCACTCGCTGAGGCCTCGCGCCTCTCAACGGCCGCTGGCGTGCTCGACGTCGTGCTCGAGACGGCGCAGGCCGTCTGCGGCGTGCCGATTGACGCGGACGGCGATCTCTTCGACGCGGGCCTCTCGTCGCTGACCTCGGCGAGGCTGCGCGGCGCTCTGCAGCGACGCATCGGCCTCGAGCTGAGCAGCCGCTTGCTGCTTGAGCTCTCCAACGTCCGCGCACTTGCAGCGTCGCTCTTCGCCCGGCTGCAGGCGAGCGTCGCACCACGCGGGGAGGAGTCGGCCACCGAACACGGGGAGGAGGAGCCAGCCCTGTTGGCGGTGAAGGCGGCCGCGATGATGCGCGGCGGCGAGATGGCCGTCGCGGAGGCGCTCGTGACCCGCGCCGCCGTCGCCTCCGGCTTGCCGCTCGACGAGGCCGGCCTTCAAGCCCTGTTGTCGCCAGCCGCCACAGTGCAGCGGCCCCTGCCCGCGCCGCACGCCTCCCTCCTCCGGCTCGCGGCTGTGCTGTGGATGCACCGTGGGGAGCACGCGCGCGCTTCCCTCGCCTACGAGCTGCTGCTCGCCGCACGCCCTGAAGCACTTGCCGCCGCTTTTGGGCTCGCAATCGCCCGCCAACGCCAGGGGAGCGACACAGGCGTGGCCGAGGCCCTCACGCGGGCGAGCACGGCCGCGCACCGATACAGCGCGTTTGGTGACGCCGCGGCGCGCGAAGCCGCGGCGCTCTGCGCGCCGTCGCTAGTGCGAACGCGCATCGCCGAGGCCGCGAGCGCAGCCGCGCCGTCGGCAAAGTCGCTCGTCAGCCTTTCGCTGAGCCGACTCGGCCTCGCCGCTCTGCCCGACGCGGTGATGGAGCTTCGGCGGCTCCAGCGCTTGGACGTGAGCCACAACGTGCTCGAGCGGCTGCCGGAGTCAGTCGAGCGGCTCGGCTCACTCCGAGAGCTGAATGCGTCCTCCAACGAGCTGAGCGCCCTCCCCGCGGGCTTGGCGGCCCTCCCGCAGCTCTTCGTGCTCGCGTTGCAGAGAAACCGCTTCGCCGGCGTCCCCGAGGTTGCGCTCAAGTGCCGGCGGCTGCGCGAGCTCAAGTGGGGCGCACAGCGGCGCCAGCTTGACGGGGGTTGCTCGGCAGGACAGGCGGGCCAAGCCGTCATCAGCGTGGCTCACGCCGACGCGGGGAGTTTGCCCACCCAGCTGAGCACGCAGCTCGTCACACTCGAGATGGAGGGGAATGGCGCTTCGGCCCTCCCCTCGACCAGCCCGCAGAACGCGTACCTTGGCTCCGTGCTGGCCTCCTTCAATCGGCTGGTGGCGCTGCCGCCTTGGCTGGTCCGCCACGGCGCGACGCTCAAGAAGCTGCACCTCGGCTGCAACGAGATAGTGAGCGTGGCCGATGTGTTGCCGAGCCTGCTGCGCCTCACCGAGCTCTGCCTGGAGGGCAATCGCATCACGGAGCTCCCGGCCGACATCGGGCGGCTCTCGCGGCTGCGCGAGCTGTGGGTGCACGGCAACGCGCTCGATTCGCTGCCCGACGCGCTCGGCCGCTGCGCTTCGCTCACCGTGCTGCAGGCGCATCACAACCGGCTGCGCGAGCTCCCCGAGGCGCTCGCCGCGCTCCGCCAGTTGCAGGGGCTCTACCTGCAGTCCAACCTGCTGAGCGACCTGCCGCGCTTGCGCGCGTCCGTCCTCGCCTCGATGCCGCTGCAGAATCTAGCGCTCGGCGCCAACCGCTTCGACCTCGCGCACGCCTTTGAGCTGCCCGACTGCCGGGTCGGCCTCGGCTGGAACGCGGGCGAGCCTCCGCCGCAGCTGCCGCCGCTCACGGATTGGTTTGCGTGCCGCGATCACTTGTTCGAGCCTGCGTGCGTGGGCGTGCGAGGCGACGTGCTGCTCGTCGCCTTTTCGGCGCAGGGGCCAGGCGTGCAGCAGTGGCAAGCGCCTGCGGCGGCGCTCCGCTCCTCCGGGCTGCAGCTCGACGTCCTCTTTGTGGCGGACCCGTCCAACTCCTTCTATCTGCAGGACCCGTCGGGGGACTGGGACGGCATGGCTTACTTTGAGGCGCTCGTCCGCCGCCACGCCGCGCGGTACGATGGGTGCGTCCTCATAGTGGGAAGCTCGATGGGCGCGACGGCCGCGCTGCAGCACGCACGGCTCGCGTCGCGCACCCTCTCCTTCGCGCCGCGGGTGGACCTCGCGCTCTCCCATGGCGCGTTCGTGCCGCACGCCGCGCGTGCGGCTAGTCTCGCGGCCATCGCCAACGGGCTCGCCGAGCTCCCCGCCAGCGTCGTGGCGGTCCACGTGGGCGCACACAACCACGTCGACGCGCTGCAGGTCGCTGCCGTCCCGTCCTCGCAGGCGGTCCACGTGGTGGAGCACGACACATTTCACCACAACGTGCCGGCGCACTTGGAGTCGCTTGGAGAGCTGGTGCCCCTGCTTAGGGACGAGGCGTTTGGCGTCCTGCGAGCGCACCTCTCCTGGAAGCGAGAGCTCTAGCTGGTACATCTGTGCTCTGAACGGTGAATGGGTCTGAATACTGAAAGCTCGTACGTCTAGGTGAGCAGATACAGCTCCAGAATCGGCTCGAATACGCTAATAGTACATAAATCTCCGCGACGGCGCGTGAACCCTCCCCGCGCGCCCGTAAAAAGGTGGACTTCGTCCTAAGGACCTAGCTCCTACCATAAAAGGAGCTCTAGGTCTAGCGGCTAAAGCCGTAGCGGCTAGCGCTAGGCCCTACGGCTTTAGGACTCTCGCGGCGGGTACAAGCCGAACTCTCTCGTCTCCCCGTTCGCGACCGTGAAAGAAGCTACTCGAGTACAGGAAGGATGCATGCAACACGAGTAATAAAACCACGCGGGGCACGAGGGCGCCCGCCGGACGCGGCCGGAGACGCCTCTGGTGGCCGGGCGGAGCTGGCTGGGCTGGTGGAGCGGGGCTAGTGGAGCAATGCTACTGATGCTACCCCTCCTCTCGCGCCTGAACCAGTACGGTCTGCAGGCTTACATCAAGGCGGCCGGGGCCAGTGCTGAGACCCAGACTGGCGACGTGTCAAGGGAGTTCGAGCCCGAGATCAGCGCCTTAACTCGCTCGTGTAGCCAGGCGTCGCTGCGCTTCGGCGTTGTGGCCGGCGGCGGCGCGGCTGGCTGGTGCGCGTCCTTTCGGTCACCCTCTGCAGCAGCCTCAGCTGATGCATCGGCGGCTGCACGTGCGAGTCTGCGAGATCGCTCTGCGCCGCATGCGTCGGGGTTGACACTGAAAGCAGGTTGTGGGGTGGCCAGCATGGCCTGCAAGCACTTTAGCACGTTGACGACGTTCCACGATGGATTCCAGCCGTCTAGCCGGTCCGGACAAGTCCACTGGGACCTCTGCTTGTCGGTCGCGACAGCCGAGAGCCACGCAGCCGTCGGGACGCGTCCAAATGCGTCAACGTTCGGATGGAATGGCAGAGGCGGCGTAAAACTGACGGCGGGTGGTTTCCACGGGTAATTGTCGGGGAAGCAGAGCCTTGCATAGAAGATGCCGCCATCGTGCGAGGTGCCTTGGGGCCCAAAAACGCACGCACGCCACACGAAGACGTCGCCTGTTCCGTCGCCTGTTCCGTTGCTTGGCGAGGCCGTGCCCAGATCACTGAGCTCACTAGTCATCCTGGCAATACTCCTTACGTCGGCACGCAGACGTCGCTCCGCAAGGCCGCGGTCCGGAGACATCATACCCCCAAGCTCCGCGTTTCGGTTGAGCTACATGTGCAAATACAGTCGGTTGCGGACATTGGGGGGGGGGGGGGGGGACTACTCGCTCGCCAATCTGCTTGTACGGGTCACCCAACAGCGGCCTCCCGCCCGGGGCCCTGTATAGTAGTAGGTCGCGCCATCTCCTGCGGCTCCATCGCCCCATAAAAGAAACTCTCCTGTCTCTCACTTTTTTTATGATATTCGATATTGCTCAAATATTTGAGGTGGTCCCGAGGGTTCGCATTCCGCTCGCGTGCAAGGTTCCCCACACCACACAGGCCACAGCACCTTCAGACACACCTCGTGCGGCTTCGTCCGTCACGCGTCAGCCAACGCACCATTTCAACTCAATACCGTCCAGCGCGCAGCGGCGCTCGGCCTCTGGCCATCAACCGCTGCCCATCGAGGTCGCCCTACGAGTACGCCACAGTCTCCGCGCCCCCCACCGGCAGGTCGACCCGTTGAACCATTGAGCTGAACCAGTGCCAGTCGGCGCGCAGCTCGGTGGGAAGAGCCTCGGAGAGGGCCTCGAGCTCGGGAGTGTCGGCAATGTCGGGGTAGTGGCCGGTCACGGCGAGAGGCAGCGGCGCCGAGCCGTTGACCACCAGCGTGAGGTCCCACAAGCACGGCTCCGCGCCGCCGCCGCTGCCGCAGGTGAGGAAGGCAAAGTGGAGGCGCTCGTCGGGGGCGAAGGGTGAGCGGCGCGGCACGGGCGGCCGCGGCGCCTCCGCCGCCGCGAACGACCACGCGAGCAGCCTCGTCTCGGGCGCGGCGACGCCCATGTGGCTCGGGCCGCTCACGCGGAGCGAGAGGGTGCGTGATCCCGGCTCCGGGCCCGGCGCGGCGCCCGTGCGCTCGATGCGCACGCGCTTGCGCTGCGGGATGGGGGGCGGTTTGACGCTCCGGCCGGCCACAGTGGTGGCAAAGACGGCGCCCTGGCCGTCGGGCGTGCCGAGCACGCCGCCGAGCGGGAAATAGAAGGGGAGCGAGAGGTAGCAGCCCGTCGGCCGCACGGGCGGGTCGAAGAGGAGTCGGCCGGCGGCCGGCGGCGGCGCGGGCGTATGCGGGTCGAGGTCGCACGCGTACGGCGTGCGCGCCGCGACGGCGGGCAACAACGCGGCGGCGGCGGGCGTCTCGCGCAGCTCGCGCAGGCCGGAGAAGTCGAAGGCGGAGACCCAGAGGCCAGACGAGTGCGGCGCGCCCTCCAGCTCGCGGTAGATGTGCTGCACCACGAGCCGCTTTGGCGTCGCGTCGGTGAAAGGGCTCGCGCGAGAGCCGAGGGCGAAGCACACACAGCACACCGCCACGAGGCCGAGTCCGCCGGCGGAGCGAGCCGCGACCCGGCGCGGCAACGGCGCGACCAGCACCGACGATGTGCAAACGGCGGTGACGGCGTAGACGACGGCGACGAGCGGGTCGGTCGGCAAGACCGCGCCGGAGCGGGCAGTGATGGGGAGGAGCACGGCGATGAGCTGTCGGCAGAGCTCCGCCGCGTGCACGGTCGGCAGCAGTGCGCCGCACAGCTGCAGCGCCGCGGCGGCGGCGGGCGAAGACACAGCCACCACGGCGGCGCCGAGGAGGGCGGCGCCGTTGACGCCGAGGTAGTACGCCGGGAGGTAGGCCGAACCGAGCCCACACGCCTGCATCGGGAGCAGCGCGAGCAGCCACGGGACGAGCGCCGCGGCGGCGGCGCGGCGCGACCCCTCGCCAGGAGTGGCGCCGGCGGCCACGGCGGCGGAGGAGGGCGCGGAAACGAGCAGCCGGGCGCCCTTGGCCTCCGTGGCCGCCTTGCCTGCCTTGCTGGCCGCCTTGCCTGCCTTGCTGGCCGCCCTGCCTGCCTTTCCTGACTCGGCGGGCTCCGGCGCGCCCGCCCGCCGGCTGAGGCGGAGCCGCACCGCGAGTGAGACGGCGAGCGCGCTCCCGCCGTAGGCGCCGGCGGCGAGCGCGGGGCGGCCGTACGTGGCGAGCGGGTGGACGGCTGCGACGAGGCCGCCGACGAGGGCCGCGGCGAGCAGCGCGCCGACCATCGCGGCGAGCTCGGCGGCCGCGCGGCTCGGCCCTGCGCCGGTCACGGCGATGGCTCCGAGGGCGGTGGCGGCTGCGAGCAGGTGTAGCCACACGCCGGTCGAGGCGGAGTAGGTGACCCACGCGAGCCCGTAGAGGTCGAAGTAGACGACGTCCGACGGCCCGTCGACCGTCTGCTCGTTCTCGTGCGGCGCCCTCGCACCGCGCTCGCCGCCCGCCGCGCCGCCGTTGCCGCCGTCCGCCGCGGCAGCGTCCAGCTCGCGCCGCAGCCCCGCCATCGCGGCGCGGGTCTTTGCGAGCAGCCCCTCGCCTGCGCCGGGCGGGTGGCGGGCGGGTGGCGGGTGGGTGCTGCGCCGCGCGATGCTGTTGGCACACGCCGCGCACCGTGGGAGCGCATCTGCGGGTAGCCCCCGGTGTCGACTGGCTGGTCGAGCGGCGTGTGGTAGTGGTAGCCGGCCTCGATGGTGGCAAAATCGACGCCTGCGGGGAGAGGGCGGCGAGGGGCGGCGAGGCGGCGTCGGGGCGGAGGCGGAGGGGGCGGGGGTGGGGGTCGGGCCGAGGCGAGGAAGGGTTGGCGGGGTCCGGCCGAGGCGTGGAAGGGGCGGGGTCGGGCCGAGGTGTGGGAAAGAGGAGCGCCGGTGACGCGGACGGCGCCACCGCGGTGCGGTGCGTGCGCGACGAGCGTCTTGAAGTCGTCGCCGGCCGGAAACCCGGGGATCTGGAAGAGGTCGTGCGCGAAGACGGAGCCGCGTTGCGTGCCGGCGTCGCCGAGCGCAGAAGCGAGCCAGCCGGCACGCGGCCCCATCTGGAAGGCGACGAGGTCGCCTCCGGCGCCGATCGCCTCGAGGTTGAGCACCGCGCGGTAGTCGGCCGCCCAGCGGTGCCGCGTCGCAAACGCGTGCGCCGCGACCCAGTTCGACTCCTCGGCTCCCGAGAAGAAGGCGAGCACGCTCACGCCTCGCGCCGGTCCGGCGGCGAGGGCGCGGAGCACACCGACCGTGGTGGCGACGTGCACCGCGTCGTCTGACGCGCCGGGCGAGCTCGACCAGGTGTCGAAGTGGCTCGAGAGGAGCACCGCCTCACGCGCCGCGCCAGGCCAGGTGAGCCGCGCCGCGACCGAGACCACGCCCTGGTAAGAGTTTGTGAACCCGTCGAGAAAGTCCGTCTCAAAGGAGCCATGCCCAGAGTCGACCGCCTCAAACTCGAGCGTGGCGCCGGCAGCCCTGGCCAACTCGCTCACGGCGCCGAGCTCGCGAAGGAGCAACGCCACGGCGGCCGACGCCGCCTGCGAGCCCGCGATGCGTGGCCCACCGACGCAGAGCGCGAGGAGCAGCCGCTGCGCCTCGGCGGTGTCGAAGCCCGGCGCAGCCGCAGCGGACGGCGCCGCGTGGACCAGCGGGGCGAGCACGAGGTTGTGCGCGAGACAGGCGAGGATAGCGCCGGCGAGCAGCAGCGCCTTCCGGGGTGCAGACACACGAGTAGCACGCGCCATTTGCAAAGTGGACGCCACAAATTGTGGCGCACGCCGTCCAGCCTGTGTCTCGAGGTCTCGAGGTTGATGTGCCCGTTTTTTGTTTGCCGTGGCTCAGCGAGTGCTAACACTCTCTCACCAGCCACCGGCACCGCTGCACGCACGCTCGCTCGCTAGACTAGACTGCCACAATCAGACACTTCCTCACCGAGTACACCCATTCAGCGCCACTCAAGGTACAAAGATTCGCAGGGAATGGGCCAGCAAGTAAACACTACAGTCGTAGTTCGAGGCCGGCCGAGGGATAGTTCCGCCTCCAGCGAACGTCCTCCTATTCGTGGGCCCCGACTCGCCGACAACATGGGCAAGAGAACCACAGGATACAACGCTTTGGAAGAGAGAGAGCGCGCCGCCAAATGCGGTATGTTTTTTTCGTTCCTCTCTCTTGGTCTCCTGGACTTGGGCTACCTCGAGTGGATGGTCAACATCTTTGCAGGAGCAGCGGACGTTGAACCAGGCTCGGGCGAGGCTCAGGCTGGCCAGTCCTGGGTGCTCAAGTGGATGGCATTCTACACTGCGATCGTCGTCCTGGTGATACATCACGTCGAGCACACCAAATGCCGCAACCACTCGTTCCATCCTCAGATGTGCGCGGCCCTGCCCTGCTCGGTCGATCCATGCGCAAGCGGCGGGGGAAGCGGGTCGTACTACAACAAGGGCGGCGGCGTTGCAGAAGTTTATGGTGTTCCGATTTTTCATGCGGCCGGAAACGCCTGCCTCATCATCGCTAAGAGCTATGACCTTGGCGGGGAATGCCCCACGCCCCCAGAGTCAGAGTTCTGGTCACATTGGGGCGCACTTCTTCTTGCGGCATCGGGCGTCATCGCAGACTTCATGTGAAGCCACGGATGCTGGCCCCCAATGCCGTCCAGTCTTACACCAGCTACACTGCTCTAGCCTCACACGAGACGTTACCCCCTGTCGCCTGTTTGTGTTTGTTTGTGTGCTGTTGTTTGTGCCCTTGGCACCTTGGCGCTTGGGGGTGCTGGGGGGGGCGACAGGGGGGACGTGGCCCTGAGTGATGTGCATCGAACCGCACTTTCCCTCCATTCACACTCTCCCAGTCCTCCCTGGTCTAGTGCCCGTCTTCTCCGCCCGTCGTGCGGAGTTGGTCGCACCCTCGTGTATCTTCGTCCTTTAGACGTTTCACCTAGAGCAAGCAGGGCGGCTCGCCCCCAAGCCCACTCGCCAGCCGGGTGGGGCTTGCACGTGGTAGCGGCGGGATGCGCCCATGCTCGCGTCGATGCTCGCGAGCGACGGTGAGCCGAAGGAGCTCGGAGAGATCGGCAGGGCAGAGGTGTGCAGCGACGCCGTCGGGGCGGTCGTACGGGTTTGCGTCCCCTTCTCGTCCGCAGCGACGAGAATCTCGCGGACTACCGCTTCACGAAGCCGCTCAAGCCCCAGCGCTTCTTCGAGCTGCGAGACAAGATCATGAATGTCAAGGAGCCTCCTTCCCCATCAGACGGGAAGCAAGTCTCCTTCGCCGAGCCATGAGCGCTCGCCACGCCCCCGCGTCGCGCGCCTCCCGAGAGCCACGGACTCTCCTCATGCATGTTCCATGCTCCATCGAGAGGGACACCTTCCTCCCTTTTCCATGTTAGTGACCGTCGACTACGTCGAGGGGGGGGACGTCTGAACCACACGTGTCCCTCCATTCACACTCTCCCAGTCCTCCCTGGTCTAGTGCCCGTCTTCTCCGCCCGTCGTGCGGAGTTGGTCGCACCCTCGTGTATCTTCGTCCTTTAGACGTTTCACCTAGAGCAAGCAGGGCGGCTCGCCCCCAAGCCCACTCGCCAGCCGGGTGGGGCTTGCACGACGTGTACGCCTGACTGTTATTCACCTTCCTCTACATACATACATACACTTAAGCGAGGACCGGCGGACCAGGCACGGCTCCCCGGAGCAGACCTCCGCCCCCCAGATACACACCCGCGGTTGGGTCAAACCGTCCTCCCTCCCGCGGGTGGATCAACCAAAAGCACAGGCTGCACGCGCGCTAGACTGGGCCGCACGCACCAGGGCCACCACCATGCCTTGCGGCCACAGCATTCGGTACTGAAGGCACGACTCCGTCGCGTGGTAACTCCGGGCTGGGCTCAAAGTTCAGTTCGACGGCGGACACTGGCATGCTGTAGCGCCGCAGTCGCAACACGGCGATCTGTCCGGGCACGCCTGGGGTGGGTTGGTGGTTGGATTACAACATGGTGCAGAAGCACATGCGGCAGGTTTGTTGCCGGGAAGTCCCGGGCATGTTGGACGGGGTGGCGGCGGCGACGGCGACGGCGACAACGGCGGAAACGGTGGCGACGATGGTGGCGTCGACGGTGGCGGCGGCGACGGCGGAGGGTGACGTGGGGCTTTGCCTGGAGGGTACGGGGGCGGCGCCAAGGGCGCCGGGGGGCGATGTGGCGTAGCGCCAGGTGGGAAGGGTTGACTGCCCGATGCCGCACAGGCGGGGTCTGTGACTGTGTGACAACCAGCCCGCCGGGGTCAGGCGGCGTGGGGGGGGGGGCGACGCTCAGAGAGTTATACGTGGGCATCGTCTGGCGATGCAGACACTCCCCGCTCCTCGCCGTCTTCCTCCGCCCACCGGTCCACGTCCTCGTCCTCGTGCGCCCCGCCTTTCGATGCTCCGATCCAACAGCGTCTCGGTCGAGGTGGAAGCGGACGCCGCGAGCGCGCCGCCCGACTCGAGCACCAGCTGGGCCGCGATGGTGATGGTCGGTGCGATGGCCGCCCCGAGGCCGTGCAGGTGCACCTCGCGTACCGCTCGAGCAGCTTGCGGGAGCGACGGAGCAGGGAGGGCGCGCCTGCTCTGCGCGAGACGAGCAGGTGATTGGAGCCGCGGAGCGTGGGAGTGCGAGTGCCCCCGGGGCCTTGCGGCGGCACGCCCAGCATCGATCGAACAAAGAAATCGCGGCGGCACCGGGCAAAAAAAGAAAAAATCGCCGCCTCTTACGCCATCAAGGCACCTTCCGGGGGGCGGCGCGGACGCACCGGTCGCCCACGTGGATTTCTCCCGCGAACGCACGCGCACATCGAGGATGGGCTGGGACTCGTCGACCACGGTGCACGTCGGCACTCCTGCCGACGTGGCTACGCTCTTTGAGCTCTCCACCAACAACGAACCCGACGATACGGGCACAGGGCTGCCGGACGACATGGACAACACGGCAGTGCTGCGGCCGCATGCACGGGCCTGCAATCACTTCAGTGCGAGTGGCACCTGCCCGTACGGTCGCGGCTGCCACTTCGCGCACCACGCATACGTGCTGCAGGAGCGTGCGCGTGAGGCAGCGCTTGCCGCAGCAGAGGCAACAGTGAAGCCGGTCGCGCTGTGCCAGTCAATGCGATTTGACCACAGCGACCTCCTATGGGACGTGGCGAGCAAGCGTCTCGTGCCGCACTGCCCGTCCGAGTTGCACGACGAATGCGAGGGCACTGACTATGTGCACGTCACCGATCCAGCCGCTTTCGCCGTCGCCTTCCACGAAAAGGCCGCGGCGCCGCTCGACATGTTTCCTGTCGACATTGTCGACCGCATCAAATGGTGCCTCGACGAAGCTAGTTGCCACCCTGGCAGCATGTGCACAGCGCACATGGGCCTCAGCAGCCCAGCTCTGAATGTGGATGCGCTCCAGAACTTACTGCGCAGCGGCAGCGTCGAGCAGCTGGAGCAGGACCTTCACCGGACGACGGAAGGTCTGAGCGCAGAGCTGGAGGCGCTCGCAAATCCGACGTGCACGTGCGGCGCGGCCGCTGAAGTCGAGGAGGACGACGAGGACTACTACTCGGACGGAGAGCCGCTGCACGAGCGCTGCTGCCCGTGCTGGGATCCCAACAGCGAGCGAGCCGACTATGACGACTTTGATGGCTACGGATGCTACGGCTCGCGCCACGTGCGGCAGCGCACGTCGTACAACGAGTACAGCGACTACGAGGCCCGCACCGATCGCATGGCGGCGTTACGTTACGCGCTCGGGCGGCTCGAGGAGGCCGCGAAGCTCAACAGCTCCGAGCTCGTCAACAAGGTGGGCGAGCCATCGAGCATGACGCTTGATGAGCTGCGGGCGTTAGCGGAGGAGGAGCTCGCGGCGCGCGCTCGAGGGCTCGGCTCGGCACTTCCGCCGCTCGACGTGAGCGCGTGCACGACGCGCTCGCAGTTTGTGGCGGCGTTCGAGAAGGCACACGTCTTCGAGCTCACCGAGTACGAGAAGATGCGCTTCGCCTTCTCTGTGGCGGCAGAGCGCGGCGAGCACATCTTCATCAGGCACGACGTGATCTGAAGAGAGAGACGCGCGTGGTGACGGGAGCGAACGTACCGGCTTGTGGAGAGAGTGACGCGAGCCAGCAGCGACCTCGACGCGCGGCAAAAAAAGAAATGCCGGCGATATCACTCAATTTCGGGCTAAGACTCCCGAAAAAGAATCGTGGGTGCAGCACCCTCTCTTGAAAGCGGCGCGCGTGTCATCGGGGACGTCGCACAGGTGCTTTAAAAGATTGACTTCACGTATCATGTTCGTCCTGTTCCAACGCGATACAAGTTACAACGTGCGACGTGCACGTCTTGCACGTGGCGCGTGCGCTCCCCGACATGCGACCCAAGGAGTTGCCTCGAAGTTGCCAAGGTGGTTGTACGAGCAGCTCTCACGTGCGACAGTCTGTCCTTAACTCTCACTCAGTCTCGCCACGTGGCGGACAGATCGTGATCGACGGGATACTATCCCGAGAGCCACCCGAGCAGCGCTCACGTCACGAGCGCTGCTGCTCGGCTGCATCCGCGGCCATCCTGGCAGCGGTCGCCTTGGCCTTCGAAGCAGCCGCAACAGCAGCGCTCGCCTCTGCAGCGGCCGTCGCGTCCGCGAGCGCCGCGTTGGCCTTCTCCAGCGCTGCCCTGGCGTCCGCCTGCGCCTGCGCCGCCGCCGCCCGAGCCGCCTCTGCCGCCGCCGCCTCCTCCTCGTCCGCCTCTGCCTCCTCCTCCGCCTCCTCCGCCTCAGCGTCCAAGCGCACCGCCTCGGCCACCTCTGCCGACGCCGCTGCCTGGCTCTCCGCCGTGATGCCGAACCGGATCCTCTCCTCGTGACACTTCTCGAGAAGCCTCATCATCCTCTCCTCTCGGCCTTCTTTGCGGCCTCGGCTGCGTCTGCCTCCGACGGCGCCTCGGCACCCTTCTCCGCCTCCTGCGACGGCCCAGCCGCGCCCGCCCCTCCGCCCTTCTTCTTCTTCTTGCCCTTCTTGCCCTTGGCGCGCTTCTCCGCCTCAACCTCCGTCAGCAGCTCCTCGGCGTGCCGCGCCGCCTCCTTCTCCTCCGCCGCCCTCTGCGCCTCCCTCTCCGCCGCCCCCGCAGCCCACGCCGCCTCCTTCGCCGCCTTCTCGGCCGCCGCCTTGGCCGCCGCGTGCTCCTCGAGGGCGCGCACGCACTCGGTGTGGCCCTGTTGCTTGGCGTACTGCAGCGCGGTCTCGCCCTCCGTAGTGCACAGCGTCATACCTGCGCCGGCCCGCAGCAGCTGACGCACCACGGCGGGGTGGCCGAAGGCGGCGGCCTGAATCAGCGCGGTGTCGCCGACTCCGCTATGCAGGTCGATCTCCGCCGCGTGCAGGATCAGCGTGTCGACAATCCGCTCGTGACCTTTGTAGGCGGCGTTCATCAGCGATTTCTTTTCGTTGTTATTTTTTGGTTTTGTTTCGTCGCTGGCTGGTGGTGGCTGGGCTTAGTTGTTTGCCACACACACGCACCCCTTTGGGGTCACAGCCCCCCCCCCCCCCCCCCGGGGGAATTCTTTTCCTTGGTCTTTTCCGTCTTGATTTTAAAACTCCCCTTCTCTGGCTCTAAAGGGGTCGCACAAATCAGTGCAACCTCGGGCTGCGGGGGCCAATCCCACGGGTGGAAAAAGAAATTTTCTGTGCCCTCTGGCCACCTGTGTATGTGTTCAGGCGTCTCGGTAATGAAATCCCCGACAGCCTTGTAGAAAACGTTGTTTCTTTTTTCCCCTAAACGCCGTTGTTTCTTTTTTGTGAAAAAGGCGAGGTCCAATTTAAAAACTCTCAAGCCAAATAAAAATCCCAAAAAAGAGTGGGAAGGCGGGAGAATCCAAAAAAGCCGTCCAAAAAGC